ATGTATACTACCTAGCAAGTGTTTGCCCCCAACAAAATGTTATCTCCCCGTCACTGCAGCTGGCTCTAAGCTTGCTTTTTGAAACCTGATTTCTTCAGCTGTCAAACAGTATAGTCTTTTAGGCTCTTGCTGGAGTCCCCAGATGGTGTAAACATTTAAATGCACTTAGCTGCTTACCAACAGCTTGGAGGTTCAGGTTCACCCAGAGGTACCTTGGAAGAAAGGCTTGGTGATCTACTTCTGAAAAATCAGCCACTGAAAACCCTGTGGAGCACAGTTCTAATTTGACACAGTGGGATCACCATGGATTGGATTCAACTTGATGGTAACTGGTTTAGTCTCTTGCTAATCAATCGAGGTCTATAGACCAGCAGTATCCACAGCTTCTGGGAAAACATTGGAAGTGTAAACTCTCAGCATTTCCTCCACCCCAACACCTACCAAAGCAGAATCTTTATTCTTACAGGATCCTCGATGAGTCAGGTGTGTATCAGCCTCAATACACCACTCTAGATCCTAACAGTTAATATCTAATATTTAATATCTGTCTTTCATAGTTGTTGTTGTTATGTGCCATGGAGTCATTTCCGACTCATAGCGACACTATACAGGGTTTCTGAGGCTGTAAATCTTTACAGGAGCAGAACGCCTCATCTTTCTCCTGCGTAACAACTGGTAGTTTCGAACTGCTGACTTTGCAGCCTGATTTGTAACCATTACATTACCAGAGCTCCTTTTATCACTGTCCAGATGCTCTCCAGAAAAGCTGAGTCTCCCTCTAAATCTCAACTGATCTCCAAATGCTCCCTGGTTTTTTAAAAATCTGTGTGGCTCCAAAATGCAGCTGTATAAATAGAAGTGCATCTGAGTCATCTTGGACTCACTGGTGCTCATGTGAATTTCTCCATTTACTTGTTTAGCACATGTTTTTTTTTCCACCATCTCTTTGAACCCATCATCCACTCCATGGGAGGAAAACATCTGGCTCTTTGCTCCCGTAAAGATTTGTAGCCTAGGAAACCTTATGGGGCAGTTCTATTCTGCCCTGCAGAACTGCTACTATGAGTCAGAATCAAATCAGTGACAAAACAACCACAATGTGCCCGGCCCTGTTTAGGTGCTGCCTATCATATCAAGTGGCCAAGGGTTGGAGAAAGTCAGGGGTTAGAGTGAGGGTTTGCTCATTGGTAAATGCAGTTGTCAGGGGAGGCTTGAGCAGGTGGGCAGTGAGTTAGGGGGGAAACCTAGTGAGAACAATGTCCCAGAAACCATGTGGAGGAAGTGTTTCCAGACCAGTCCTTGGGGTTCTAGGCACTGACAGCTAAGCGAGAACTGATTTTGCTAAGTGGATGCTGATCTGGGGAGTGGAAGGGCTGAGCCTTGGGTGTCGCATCAGAAGGGGTGGAAATGGATTGGAGACAACAGACACAGACAACTCTTTAAGCAATTGTGTTACAAAGAGGAGTAGAGGAATGGGCTGTTTAAGGTGGAAGGAATCACTGCATGTTTGCATGCCAGTGGGGGGCGATCAATAGAGAAGAAAAGCTGGTGATGCAGGGGAGCACAAGGACAGTTGCCTGAGTGATGTTCTGGAAGGAGGTAAGAGAGGAGGGTGGCCCTTCCTGTACCGACAGGAAGGCAGACACAAGCGTTAATAGATGTGGGCAGTACAGACGAGTGAGCATAACATTATGGATAAGGGGGGTCAGGGTATGCCTTTGAAGGGCCATTGGAAAGAATAAGCCAGAGTTACCTTTCACTTACTGTCTCTTGGAGAACCCTTTGGGGACACAGGCTGAAGGCCACTGTAGTGTGAATTTATAGGGGAAATTGTGACGTCTCCTGTCATGAGAGGCTTTAAAGCCTGATGGAGTCTCATCCGTGGGAGTGAGCCTGGGGTCCTGGTAAATAATGGCCTTTCTCTATTCCTTTCAAATATCATATCAACTCTGGTGCACATAATAGCTTACCTCGAGTCTGTTGGTTGTTGCCAAATCAAGTCCCTGGGGTCTATGAAGTGGAAAGTTTTTAAGTGAAATGTCATGTATTTAAAACAGCCTGTCCAAAGCTATGTGCTCTCCTTGAGGATATGTGCTTTTGATTTTAGGACCTAGAGCCCTCAGCTGACTAGACAAGGCCTTTTGGGGGAAGAGCATAGATAGATTCCTGTAAATTAATCACTGCCAAATGTTGGCAGCCCTGCCTTCCATTTCCTGCCTAGAATCGAGAATTCTGTATCAAGAATCAACCAAAAAAGCCCACTGCCATCAAGTCCAGTCTAACTCATAGCAGCCTTGTGTAGACTGCTTTATGAGACTAAATCTTTATGAGAGCAGACAGACTCATCTTTTCATTGTGAAGCAGCTAGAGGGTTTGAACTGCTGACCTTGCAGTTAGCAACCCAGTACCTAGCCCACAGCACCACCAGGGCTCCTTCAAGAAGCAACCAGGATATTATAATTCAGGGAAAAAATGTAAACGCCAGCTGTGTGCCAGGCACGGTGCTAAATGCTCTACATATATGATCTCATTTAATCTTCAGACTAGTTCCATAAATATATTATTATTGTTCTCATTTTACACTGGAGGAAGCAGGGAACTAGGACAAAGCCGTACTAATTCATAAGCAATGGAGCTAGGACTTAAAACCAGGTGTATTTCACTCTAAATTTATGGAACGTTTTAATTTTTTTCATACTTAATTTGATCGTGGAGACAAATGCACATCATTGAAAATTGCAAAGCCCATCGAAGTGCATGATGATAAACAAGTTTTCCAGCCCAGTATTCTCCAAAAGAGCCTATACTCCTAACGACTAACAAAAAACACCCAAACCTATCAAATCCTTTCCAACTCATAGCCACTCTCTATGCTGAATGTTTTAGGATACACAAAAATGATTCATTCAAAGCAATTAGACTAAAATATAGTGCAACTCTTAGAAGAGACAGCTAAAGAGGAAGCTATGAATAGTATATACATTATAGGCATTTCTTTCCAAATTAAAGTCCAGTGTTTGAGGTCTTATACTGCGTACAACCTCCAGGGTTCCTAAGAGTTATTAACACCGTACATTTTTTACAAAATTATGTGCATTCATATATGCACATATATGAATTTTTCCAAGTAGAGAGTTCCACTTTTGTCAGATTCTTGAAGGAGTTTGTCGTCCCCACATAGGTTCAGTACTACGGGTTTAGACCCTAAACCTGGGTGTTCCCATTGTAAATTGGAAGAGTAGAAGATCTTTGTCTATGTTTCATGAGAGTAAGGAAATGGACTTGAACCCTTGCAAACACAGGCCCTGAAGCTGTGTCTTCCTTCCGGTGCTGGCCGTGGTACCCACCAAGGAATTACCTTCATATGCTTGGCAAGGTTTCTCATCTTCCTTCAAATCTTAACTAGGATCTCTCATGGCTGGAGTTTGTTTCCTTTTGACTAATAAGCTTTCCAAAAACTGCTGGGTTTCTTCTACTAATTTCCCAATCCATTGTCAGATCTCATTAAAGAAACAGGCTCTTCCTCCATCTTTGTCCCTTCATGACACTAGAAATTGACCAACTGTGGGGGTTAACCAGAGCTGTAGACTTGGGTCACCTCATGTCTTCTGTTGCCCATCCCAAGGTTTCCACAGTATTTCTCTCTCCTTTTTCTTTCCAATTTTAATTTAACCAAGGAATCTTCTAAAACTTCTCCCAGCCTTTTAAAAAGTCCTGCTTCCTTGTAACTGAGGAGCGAGGAACAGATTGTAACATTAAATCTTGAAAAATCATGTGAAGCAATCCAGCCATTGAGTTCTTTGGCCTTGCTCCTCGTGGGCTTCATCTGTATTTGATTCTAGGTCCTGTAGAACAGTGATCCTCAACCCTTCTTCCTCAGAGCAGTTGTTCATGTCCCACCCTGTTCATGTCCACTACGCATTCCCTGCAGTGACTGACCGTCTAGGTAACAGGGTACAGATCAGAATCCCCAGTAGAGGAGAGGACCACAGAATTGGAGAGAAACCAGCATGGTGATATGAGTCTGAATTTGGGGTACACTAGCAATAAAGTGTGCCCCTTTCTGAAGTACAGCCACACAGTCCCAGGCTTCTAATTTAGCATCAAAAGGCTCTGGGTTCTTCTCCGGTTCTGTCAGAATCAGGTGCTGAGGACTCCTGATGCTGATGCCATGAGCAGGACAGAACTCCTTAGCAAAATGACAGCTCTGAGGCCAGGTGGGAGGATATACCTAGTGCTAACCCATCCCTCTACACCTGCACCAATGGTACACAATGGGAACAGTGGTTTATTGGTGGGTTTAGGTCCTTGGCCAGGTTGGAGGTGGGCCTGCTAGCTGAGGAGACGTTCCCAGAATAAATAAATACCCAGTGATGAAGTTTGCATCCAGAAAAAGTCCAAGCAGAAGCTAAACAGCATGCTGACCTTTTCCTGAATAAATCCTGCATACTACAATAGAAGAGGGTATTATGAGAATGAAAAACAACTGCATTCACTCTTCTAGAAAGAAATTCACTGGCTTGATGGCATACAAAAGCTAATCAGTTGTTTTGGGTTTTTTTTTAATGCCTATGTGTTTTGACCATATAATTACTGGGGCAGGGCAGCCTGAGGGTCCACGTCGGTCAGCTTAGTGGGCTGGCCTATGGAGCGCTACCCGGCTCTGCAGAATAGATTTGATGGATGGATGGCAAGTAGGGTTTGAAAGGATAACTGGAGAAAGCAGTGGGGTTAGACTCCAATGAGTCAAGTCTGCTTCTGTCTCACCAGGATGGAGTGGACTGGGCACCTCCACTTTGCCTTTCCCTGGCTCCTGAGTGGTCACCGTAGTGGTCATTCTTTCTTCCGACTCTGCTTTCTGGAAGGGCTCTGAAGTCCTGGTAGGCAGGTGGCAGTTTGTGAACCTTCTGCTTTTGCTCTTGGCAGCGCCTCCTGTGAATGTGTTTTCTGGGCATTCATGCAAGTACTTTCCTGCTTGTCCCCTTCCCCTTCTCTTCCAGTTTATCACAGTTCAGTGAAGACAACATGATGGACCCCTACAACCTCGCCATCTGCTTCGGGCCCTCGCTGATGTCAGTGCCTGAGGGCCATGACCAGGTGTCCTGCCAAGCCCATGTGAATGAGCTGATCAAAACCATCATCATCCAGCATGAGAATATCTTCCAAAACGCCAGGGAGCTGGAGGGCCCTGTCTACAGCAGAGGAGGAAGCATGGAGGATTATTGGTAAGGGGCTTGGGGCGGGAGGAGGGGAGAGAATCACCAACATACACTGGACAGATGGCCAAGCAAAAGCCAAAGGGAACAGCACCCGGATCCTCACATCCTCCTACTTATGGCTTCTCAGGCGGCCAGGATGTAGAAGTGGTGTCAGCAGTCACCACCTTCCTTCACCCCACAGAGCTGATGCCGCATCATGTCACCTCCCTTCTTTATGGGCCCTGAATGGTGAAGGATCATTCTGAAAGATGGTGACAAGAGCAGTTGTAGTAACATTAATAATCTCGGAGAGAGGAAAGTCAATAAAGTTGTATATAGAACTGCTGTTCATTCGTCAAGTACTTCACGGGCTGCTCCGTGCTGTGTCCTGTGAGAGAAGATCCGAGGGAATTTTGCTGTACCTGGGAAGAACTTAGACACGGAGAATCATTTCTTGACTGAATTTGTAAGATGAGTGTTTAAAATGACTTCAAAAATTTGTGAAGAGAATGAGTGGGGAGAGCTCTGTTTTCAGCTGGTTAGGCACTAGTCTCCCTCTGAAGTGAGAATGCATTCTGTAGCGCAAGGTTCTTCATGACCATAGTTGGGGAATGGCGGTCTAAAAGGAATCCCTAGGGCACATTTTTCTTCAACAAAGTCAGCATATGAAGTCACTACAACCCAGAGAGAGGCCAGTGACATCATCTTTTGAGTCACCCCAGTGAAAAGGATTCCAACCCCAATCTTGTCTCTTGATACACGACACCATCGCCTAACCCACATGCAGGTGGTACCATGTGGTGGTACCCACATGGTACCACCTGCATTGCCACTTCCCACTAACCACAAAGGCAACCGTCTCCCTCTTTAACTTCCTGAAGCCCCTTACCTCCTCCGCTCTCCCACTAAATGGTGTTTCAGCCTGAGTTGGAAGCATTCGCCAGTTTAAATCAGATTCTGTCTGAATTCAACATCTGGAACCAATTCTGCCAGTTTGTTGCTATCGACGGAGGTATGGGGGACAGGGGAGGTTGTTTACTTAATTAGAAGTCAATTGCTCTATGCTTTTCCCTGATCCCTACAGAAGGGGCCCCTACCCAAAGAGTAAGGAAAATTATATTCATGTGTCTGTGGATCTGTGGGTTTACTGTTCTCTGCTGTATTGCAGATCCCAGCATCTGGGTCAGAGCTGGAAAAACGTAGGTTTGTAAGCTTGGAGAGAGAGCTTTTGTCATTGACAGATGGTGGGTGGTGATGGGGAAGTTATTGGACATTTCAGGTCTCTACCTACAGGCTCATAAGCTCCAGGGAACTGTTTTTATGCAGGTGACCCAGAAATTTGATTTTCCTGTTTGTATGAGTGATTCAACCATTGAGGAGTTTTGGGATAGTGGTCCCAATTCCTGCTTTACCTTTCTTCTAAAGTTGGGCAGAAAGTCTACTACCTTCACTTTCCAAATTTCAAGCCACTGTGGGCTCCAGTAGGTTCCTTAAGATACAGAGTCCCCACAGCCCAGTGGAGGAGAGTCCCAGAGGGATGTGGTCCACAAAGGCAGGGGAAAGTGAGCACCTTTCTCCAGTTTTCACCAAGGTAATCTCCCTAGCCACACTATGTTTGTTGTGCATCAGACACAACCATTAGTCAGGAAATATTACGAGCACAGGATGGGTAAGAGGCCCCGGGGCCTCAGACCAGAAGCAGCCAAGGATCAAGAGTCATCTGATCACTCGATTCATATCCACTCTGAAGGTTTCCATGTTGTTTTCTTCCTTTGGGAAGGGAGCAGTGAGTAAGACCAGTGAAAGCAGTAAGGGATGGGTAGCAAGAACAGTGTAGAGTGAACAGATTGGCCAGGGAAAGGGTTGCTTAGGGCTATTTGGCCACCCTGCAACACTAGAGAAGAGAAGAAAACCCCATTTTACTACCCTACCAGCCCCTATTCTTCTTGGATCAACTATCAACACTCGAGGAAGCCGCAGTCAAGAAATCAAATGACGTATTGCATTAGGCAAATCTGCTGCACAAGACGTTTTTAAAGTGTTGAAGAGCAAAGATGTCAGCTTGAGGACTAAGGTGCGCCTGACCCAAGCCATGGTATTTTCAATAACCTCATATGCATGCGAAAGCTGGACAGTGAATAAGGAAGACCATAGAAGAATTGATGCTTTTGAGTTATTACTTTGTGATGTGTCCAACAGATATGAGGAGAATATTTTAAATGCGATGGGCTGCCAAAAGAACCAACAGATCCGTTTTGGAAGAAGTGCAGCCACAGTGCTCCTTGGAGGCCAAGATGGCCAAACTCCATCGCTCATACTTCAGACATATTATCAGGAGGGACCAGTCGCTGGGGAAGGATATCAGTATGGTAAGGTGGAGGGTCAGAGAAAAAGAGGAAGACCCCCAACCAGATGGATTGACCAAGTGGCAGCATCGATGGACTCAAGCGTGGCAACAGTAGTGAGGTTGGCCCAGGATTGGGCATTGTTTCGTTCTGCTGTGCATAAGGTCGCTATGGGTCGGTGCTGACTCGATGACACCTAACAACACAAACCAGCCTGAGACTGGAGCTCTGCTTTCTAGGTCTACCTGCTTCTGAGAGCTCAGGTGTCAGTGGGCCTAATGGATGTTGCTGAGAATGAGGTTGTGAAATAGAAGATGCATAACGTTCTAAGACTAGAATGGGCTTTAACAATAGTCATAGTGCCTGTCTTCTGTTTAGCATTAGGGCTTAGGGATAAGTTTATGGGTTAAGGTTAGGGTTAAGTGTTGTGTTAGGTCCGATCTAGGATCTGATGTAGTGCTAGGGATAGGGTTAGGTTTTAGGGCTTATGATATATATCAAGGTTAGGGGCTAGGGCTAGTAGTGGTTAGGGGTGGTAGGAGTTAATATTAGGTTTAGGGTTGGGCTTTAGAGTTAGGGGTTAGGCTAAGGCTAGGCCTAGAGCTAGGTCTAAATTAGGGTTAAGTTCAGATTTAGAATAGGGCTAGGGTTAGGGTTAGGGGTAGCGCTGGGGATAGGCCTAAGGCTTGGTCTACTGTTGTTGTTAAGTGTTGTTGAATTGGTTCTAACTCATAGCAACCATCTATAGGGCTTCCAGGGAGTGGCTGGTGTGTTTGAAATGCCAGCTTTGCAGTTAGCAGTCCCTTGCTTATCCTTCAGCACCACACCAGGTCTACTATTCAAGTTCCTAATAACTTGCCAGTCTTTTCTCAATTCTCTTTCCTGGTTGTTTTCAGACTCCATACTTTTTTTTTTTTTTTTTTCAAGGACTTGATCGAGCCTCCATCCCCTTTCTCCTGTCGAGTCTAGCCCGCAGCAGATCCTTCTTCGCCTGTCTTATTTCACCTCAGCCCTCTGACTCCTCTCTCACTTTTTCATCAGTCAAGAAGCTTCGAGGAAGAAGGAAAGGAACATTTATTAAGAACCCCTTCTGTGCGAAACTTTTTGGTCAGTCATTTCATTGCTGCCTCACACAGCTCTGTGAGATAAATAGATTCACTTCAATTTATAGATTAGGCAACTGAGGCGTACAGAGATTAAGTAATTTGCCCATGAACACAAAGCTACCAAGTATCAAAGCTGACTTGAAGATCCAGGTGTATCTGCTGCTAAAAGCCCAGTATTACCCTCCCACCACCTTTCCTTCTCAAGAACCAGGAAGCCTACATACTTCACAGAGACAACCAGCCTTTGAGGAGTTAAGTTCTGTATTTTCTAAAGAATTTACTTGGTAAGTTCAGTGAGAGGGTCTTCCCATTGTCTCAAGAGAGTCTCAAATCATTTTTGTGCCAGAAAGTAGCCCAGGGTACCTGTAGAACCTTCTCTTTCATTCTAAGCATTTATTTGTTTGTTGTATGCAATTAGAGCATTGCAATAAGATAGATTCCATGCCCTTGCTCCACGGAGACTTTGGAGGGGTAGACAAAAATTCCATAAACCAAAGTCTGATGGCCTGGCCACTCTTGCTTCTGTTTCAGTGATAGCCCTCACGGAGAGACTACCTCGGCTGAAGACTCAACCCAGGATGTAACCACAGAGCCCCACATGAGCGATGATGGTATGAGCCCTTCTTTCTGGTCAGTGGGGTTTCCTGGGTCTTGAAGTGGAGGAAGTGGTTATAGCCTATGCTCCTGCCCAGCAATAACCTCACCTTCAGGCCTTCCCTTTCTTGAAGAGACAGCCCACCCTCTCAAGTAGCTTGAGAATGGTCTCTGTATTCAACTAGAGTTTTGAGGCACTAGACCTCCGCCCTTCAACCTTCCTGCTCCAACTACCTGTGACTCGTTCACCTCCTAGCTCCTTGTCTAGTCTGAGACCAGCTTGATGCCCAGTACCCTCTCACAGCCCAGATCCCTGTCAGGTAGCTAGAGACTAAAGCCAAGGAGAGCTCATTTGAAAAGCAGTTAGTCCGGGGGATAGGGAAGCTTGGGTGCCAAGAACTCATCAGAAGCAAGTGAGAGGGGAGCAGGAATCAGGATGCAGAAACCACATGCTTTCACGCTGACTGGTAAAAGTAACCTTTTCCAAAATACAGCCATGGGAGTGCTGAGCAGGCTGGCCGTGAGCATCCAGAGGTGGACTGCTTAGCTGTCATCTGCAGGCCCCTCGGCAGTGCCCGTGATTTATTAGCGTCTGTCCAGCCAGCATATTTTTCCCTCCTTCCAACGGTTCCCACCTCCATTCCTGGTCTCTGGAAGCTTTAGCAGCTGACAAGGGGCCTCAGAATTTTCTGGGCACCAGAACAAAATGGCATAGCCTGTGGAGCTTTCTCTACCTTGCTATGAATTCTGCAGTTCCAGACCAGCTTTTAAAGGAGAACAAAATCAGCACTGCTTATTTCAGCCGTGATGTCAGAAGGATCAGTCTGATAATTTGCTACCTTTTAGAAAGGGGAGTAGATGAATTTGGGAAACTCGTATTACTTTGTGATGGGTCCAACAGATATGACCTCTCTTTCATAGCTGAGAAAATAATGACATTCAGAAAGGTCAAGTTACAGAACCAAGGTTGAACAAAACTGAGATTGGGATATTTTAGATGGGGATCAAAAGCCAAGTTTTTTCCCAATTCTCTGCTCGACTCCTATTTTATAGACCCTCCACGGCTTCTGTTTCACACTAGGCCGTCTGCCACCACTGTAAGTTCTCCAGCCATACTGGTTCAGGGTGCAGACTCTCCAGCCAGGACTATCTAAGCATGGTTTTGTTTGGCACGGAAGATCGGTTTGAACCATAAGATCAGCGGTTCAAACCCACCAGCTGCTCCTCGGAAACCCGACTTACTCAACGGCACTCAACAACACTCTCTACTACCTAAAAAGTTATTTGGGCAAACTTAAACAATGTGCTACTATTTATAAACTGAATACATTTTACCAGTATTAGTCAAATACATCACTTTTTTTTTTCATGGACTACATCCTGAGGCTCAGGTTTCTGTGAACCTTCTCTTCACTGTCTGATTTCTGCCTCCACCTAGAAGACATACTAATAGTAATAGCAACAATGAATGATGCTCATATAGCACTTACTGTGGGCCAGGTACTTTTACAAATTATAATTAATTGACTCCTCATATCAGTAGAATAAGGAGCTCTGGTAGCGTAGTGATTATAAATCGGGCTGCTAACGTCAGGGTCAGCAGTTCGAAACTACCAGCTGTTCCGTGGGAGAAAGATGAGGCTTTCTGCTCCCGTAAAGATTTACAGCCTCGGAAACCCTGTGCAGGGTCACTATGAGTCAGAACTGACTCCACGGCACATAACAACAACAATCAGTAGCATAGAAGAGGCATTTTTGTTCTCTTCATTTTCCAGATGAAGAGATAGAAATACACACAAAAGTAAAGATGCATCCTACCTGAATTTTTCAAATCTCCCATGCATATTTACCCATATGTTGCTGTTGTTATTGTTAAGTGCCATCGAGTTGTTTCTGACCCATAGCGACCCTGTATAGGGTTCCCAAGGAGCTACTGGTAAGCTTGAACTGCCGACCTTGCGGTTCAAACGGCTTTGCAGTCTCGTGTATTAACCCACAGCGCCACACCAGGACTATACTCATTGCAAAATACATTTCCATATTTCGCTCTCTGAAAAGTTGATTGTACAAATTATCTTCTCTTTATAAAGTCGAAAAGCTCATGTCTTTAGGGGTAATGAGCACATGCATCTAAAATAAATAGGATGCATTTTCATTAATTTAGAGTTTTTTTAATAATAAAAGAAAAAAAATTCTAAAAATTTGTAAAGGACGTTGTTGTTGTTGTTAAGTACCATCAAGTCGGTCCCAATGCATAAGGTTTCCGAGGAGCAGCTAGTGAGCTTGAACCACCTACCTTGTGGTTCAAACCGCCTTTGCAGTGCATTAACCCACAGCACCACACGAGGATTTTCTTATGTAAATGACGTGATATATAAAAATATATCATGGAATTCTAATGATACTGAAAGTTCCTTGGGCTGCCAAAAAAAAAAAGCAAATCTGTGTTGGAAGAAGTGCAGCCAGAGTGCTTCTCAGAGGCCAGGATGGCCAAACGTCGTCTCTCATACTTCGGACATATTGTCAGGAGGGACCTGATGTATTGTTAGTCTCTGGAGAAGAATATCATGTTTGGTAAGGTGGAGAGTCAGAGATAAAGAGGAAGACCCCCAGTGAGTTGGATTGGCAAAGTGGTAGCATCTGTGGGCTCGGGCAACAATTGTGAGGTTGGCCCAGGACCAGGCAGCATTTCATTCCGTTGTGCATAGGGTCGCTGTGAGTTGGTACTGACTCGATGGCACCTAACAATAATAAAGAGCTTTGGAAGGTACATGTTTGAGTTGTGTCTTGGTGTGTTTCATCAGGCAGGTGAGAGAGAGGGAACAGCATGAGTAAGGACAGGAAGAGCATGCAAATGCTTTCAGAGCAGTGGCACAGTCTCCATGGGAATCACCTGCTTTATAAACCATCCACCCCTTATGTTTCACACTAGGCCATCTGCCCACCACTGTAAGTTCCTTTAACAGGGCTTTTCTGCCCAGTTTGCTGAGTGTGTGGGTGCCAACAACATGTGTTTCCTTCTTTCCCACCCCTCTCAGAGTGTGAGCCCATTGAGGCCATTGCCAAGTTTGACTACGTGGGCCGGACAGCCCGGGAGCTGTCCTTCAAGAAGGGGGCATCCCTGCTGCTGTACCAGCGAGCTTCCGACGACTGGTGGGAAGGCCGGCACAATGGCATCGACGGACTCATCCCCCATCAGTACATCGTGGTCCAAGACACGTACGTTGGGCCCTTGACACCTTTAGAGGTCACTGACTGCCCTGTAGGGGTGGACCTCATATCTGGAACATAGAGTATGTGGGAGACTAACCCCCAGGGGAGGCCAACAAGGTCCTGTAGCTCCATACATTTGCTCTGAAGGCCTCCAGATTCAATGGAGAATTGCTTTTTTTAAATCTCTCCATCCTCCATCCTCCAGCACACCACTCTCTGACCTAGTTGTTTTAGAAACCTGCCAACCAGAGCTCATCCACATTTACACCCGATGAGTGACAATGCATGCTTACTATTTGACCACGTACATCCCCTTTCATATCGGATCAGGAAAACATTTTTTGCTCTTCTGTCTTTTTTCTTTCTTTATACAGCTAACGCTTACCCCAGCCATTTGGGCCTGATGTTTCTTTTAAACTTGCAAATGAAAGTTAATGAGCTACATTTCTAGGAGAAATCTAGCTTAAGCAGCCTGTAGAAATGACCCAATTTTGTTAATGCCGATGCGGCTGATTCAGGGAAAGATGGGAGAGAGGCTGGGAAAGGATATCAGGGAACAAGGTCCCAGGGAGATTTCATCAGATGCTCTGGCAGTCTCCATACTTGTAAAGCGTTGTCTCCAGGGCAACCCAAGCCTACCTCCCTGCCCCACTGCTCCTGACGCCCTCCCCTTGGAAACCATGCTGTCCGTGTTTTTAGACCTTCCCTTGATATTATTTTTTAAAGGTTGATATCCTGAATGAGTCTACACCCTCCCAGTCTCTCCCCGACTCCTTCTGCAGGGAATCCTCCCTCTGTTGATAACATCGCAAACCTGGTGGCGAGCTGTGCGTGGACAGGAGACCCTCCCAGATTTAGCATTATGACTTCATCACAGGAGCAAGAGAAGATGAATTGTGGGAGAGAAGGGGCTTTCTCGGTCATCAGTAGCCAGAGGGGCCAGGAGAGCAGTGGAGAGAGAACTGGGACCGGCCTGGAAGCTCTAAGTGGGGGCTCGATGCACTTCGACCTAGCATGGCCTCCACGCTGGCCTCTCCAGAGCCACCACAGAGCTGACCACCTTGACTGGGCAATGCTCAGGACCTCAGCAGATAAAACAGCAGCCTGGACCTGCCGCCTCCTTCTCCAGGAGGGTGGTCCCAGCACAGCCGCCCCAGGAGAACAGCGTGGGCTAGAAGGCAGATGCCTCGAATCCAGATGCCCCCTAGCCGAACTTTCCTGAGGAGCCGAGAAGCCCACAGTACCCAGTTGGATTATTTATTTGTATTTAAACTACCATCCCTAGGCTCTTAGATTCTCTCGCCTCTCTGTCCCCCAGAGCCAGCCTAGCCAAGTGTCGCTGCTGCCTCAGAGCCATGCGGGGTCGCGTGTATGTGTGTGTGTGTGTGTGTGTCGGGGGGGCCATCTTGCCGATTTAACACTGCTTTTTGTGTTGTTGTTGTTTTCCCTCTTCCCTGCCTGCCTGCCCCTTCTCCCCCAGCGAGGACGGTGTCGTGGAGAGGTCCAGCCCCAAGTCTGAGATTGAGGTCATTTCTGAGCCACCTGAAGAAAAGGTGACAGCCAGAGCGGGGGCCAGCTGTCCCAGTGGGGGTCATGTAGCTGATATTTATCTTGCAAACATCAACAAGTAAGCGCCGCCTTTCATTTTCTGCTCCCCTGAATGACTTGCCACATCCAGCCTCACCCTCTGGCCTAACCCCCTCTGTGTCTGTGTTGCACTCTGGGCACCTGGCTCCCCCAGCCTCATGGTTTGTGTGTGCTGCCGCCAGGCAGACAGGGCTGAGGAAGCTTCTGCAGGTTCTCTCCACAGGCCCGGTTCTTCAGCTATCAGCCATCATGCTGTGGAAGGGGGTCTACTCTGTGTTTCTGTGGTGTCTGTCAGCTCAGATCTTCCGGGCCATCTTAAGGTCCTTTTACGCAGCTCATGTTCGTACTGTTCCTCAGAGATGCTTCCTCTTTTCCAGCTCTTACGCATACCATGTCTCTGATGCCCCCCTTGCCTCAGGTCTGTCCAGAGATCCAAAGTCTTGTGTGTCTGCCACTAGGCTACTTTTACCCTAAACCAACAACAAAAAGCCAAACCCACTTGCGTCAAGTGGATTCTGACCCTAGTGACGCTGTAGGACAGAGTAGAACTGCCCTGTGGGGTTACCGAGGCTGTAAACTCTGTACGGGAGCAGACAGCCACATCTTTCTCCCAGAGTACTGTTATCCCTGGGGGGGTTTAGTTCCATATGATGGGTTTGTGTCTGCCTCTGTCCTGTGTCCACTCCTGGGGGAAATACAGACCACTGTCTCCCTAAGGAAAGCTTTTTCCAGAACTCGTTACTCAGGGTCTAACCCCTAGCTCCCTTTTATTCTCCCTTTTTGCACCAATAGAAAGAACTTCCAGTTTTTGTTTTTTCTGTTGCTTTAGTTAGTGTATTGTTGCACCCTACCCAGTCCCTTTGCAGAGCCCCACTCCTGTCCAGCAGGCTCTTGACGCTGACCTCCAGCTTTCACTGTGGCTTTTAGCAATACCCTGGGGTTTTCGCTGCCCACACACCTGATCTGACTGTCTAGAGGGATTCCAGGCTAGTGTGCTGCTGCTTCCTCTAGAGACATTCAGGTTATTGGAGAACTAATCTCATCTCAAGGGGCCAGACACCAAGTCTCAAAGCCTACAGACCTCTTCCCGCCAGACCCTGAAAGTTGGCCCACTGCCAGCAGGATGACAAGCCCCAGGGTGTCCTGATGAATATGGATTGGAGATGATGTACAGTTTTTATTCCCCTCTGGCTTTGGAGGAATGAAATGATTTGCACATTGAACACCTGTTAACCATAGCCTCTGGGCACTGAAACTGGAAGGAGAATAAAAGATGTTTGTTGTTTCTAAACCACACCAGGTCGCCTGGATCTCTTGGCTTTTTTCCAACCAGGCGGTAGAAAGGGGCGTGGTTGGGACACGTGGCTGTTTTCCATCCTTTTCACCCTCAGACTGGTCAGATCTCTTCTTCAGCTCACAGAACTCACTGCCGTCGTCATGGAAGTCAGACCATAAGAAAAGAGATAGAGGGTTTTGTTTATTTTCCTCTAAGCTAGGAGGGCAAGCTAGTAAAAAGTAACTATGGATTAATCACATTTTTTCCCCCTGATTTACAAGCCCATGTTAATTATAAGCCTGTAATCTCAAGATTGGAAACGTATAATTAAACCAGAAACCAAAGCAAGGTCTGGTAGAGGGAGAGTTAGATAATTCGTCAGGTATAGACATTTAAGTCATCAGAGTTGATGCGTTCATACAAAGGAGTCAGAGAAAGTAATACGTGAAATAGTCCAAAGATGAAAACCTCATGGGAAATCAAGATGGTTCCCATGAACTCCTTGCTCAGTGGTGTCAGGGTTCCCATGATTCTTTGGAAGACAAATCTCCTTCACCTTAGCCTCTTTGGTGGACCCCAGCAAGTGGGCAAGAGAGCTACAGCCCTTGGGCATGTTTGGCCTCGCCCTTACCGATTACTCCCACATCTCACTTCCCCAAGCTCCTTCAGTTCCTTGAAGATGCCATGTTCTCTCTCACCTCCCTGCCTCCACACATGCTGACTCCTGTCTTGATCAAATCCTCCTCGTCTTTCAAGACTCAGGCCAAAGATGGACCTCTTAGGGCAAGCCTTTTTGATACCCCTGAGTCTCCAGGCCTGACTAAGTTGCTTTTATTCCGTTAAGTCCCAAAGCCTTGTGAGTAGCTGTGTAGTAGTGTGTATTCCTTGTCACTTGGATCCCCTACAAAACTGAGTGCTCCTTGAAAACAGGAAATCTTCCTCATCTTTCCATCCCCAGGACCTGCCCCCATCCAGGCCAAGAGCAGCTGCTCCACAAATGTGTCTTTTCAGCAGCTTTAGCTTTGTGAGTCAGCCAGCCAGCCCTGAGCAGAAAAAGGAAATCAACAAAGAGTTGTTCTTGCTAGGTGCTGTCAAGCTGGTTCCGACTCATAGCGCCCTATGCACAGCAGAATGAAACACTTCCCAGTTCTGCACCCTTCTCATAATTGTTGTTACACTTGAGCCGATTGCTGCTGCCACAGTGTCAATCCATCTCATTGAAGGTCTTCTTTTTATTAGAATGTGGCATTTCCTCCTAGTTCTACACATTTATTAAACACCTACTGTATGCCATGCACCATGTATCCAGAAATGAATACGACAGGATGTAGTCTCAGAGCTCATACCCTGACAAGGTCAGTCCGATATGTCCTATCGGTGGTCTGAAAGAGCAGGGGAGGGAGTTAGTGGTCCTGTGGAAGACTGCAGAGGGGAGGTCAGACTGGGTCTTGTAAGACTGGGGACATCCTTTTTCCACTTGGAACTCTCAAAACTAGAACTGTTGAGAAGATGCATTTCTGGAATAGCGGCTGTGGACCAGGTTCTAGGCCAGGTCCCGGCATGGAGAGATGAGCAAGACTTCACCTTTGAACAGGATGAAGATGATCTTTCAACACTGGCCCTACTTCGATTCCTCAGAGTTCTGCACCTTACTCCTGCCTCAGCTCAAATCTCCCTTAATAGATTGAAGATCAGAGCTGCCCAGCTGCCATCCCAAAATAGAAGTTCCACTGCTTCTTGTACAATCTGATTCCAACAGAAAATGACATTACTCAGCAGTAAGCATCACCCATATAACTAGAGGCCCCACCCCAAAGGAAGGGCCAAGCCATACCATATGAGCGCCTTAAATGGTCTGAAACAGTGACCCAGAGCAAGGTTTAACCCAATGTGGAAACACTTCAGATGTTTTAGGATGAGAACGTACTTTCAAATTCCAAGAAAATGCACAAACTCAACCCTAATTCTGTAACATTGAGTCCTTTTTAAATATATTCTATTTCACATCTGCAGAATAAGCCTCTTACCAGAGTCCAAAATGATTACAGTCTCATTATAGTAGGACCAAGAAACATGCTAAATTTGGGACCAGTCAGCATTTCTCTGCCCATCAATCCTCCACCTCCTTGGTGATGGTGACAACCCTTCTTCTGCCTGGGACGTTTGGTTTCTGTTGAAAGCAGGCAATGGATGGGGGCCTTCCCATGGGTCTTTCTCCCTCTAAACTTTCACTTAATCAGATGTTTTTTCCTGACAGCACTTTACATCTTAAGAATTCAAAACTCACAACCTCCAAGTAAGTATCCATTTCTCCTTTGTCCAGACTGGGGGTGGCGGGGTAACAGACGTGGAGAGACCAAGGGAAGGTGAAACGGAGGAGCAAGCATGCTCTGTGTCCTTCTCCTTCCAGAATTTCCTGGGGGCCACCAACCTGCCCCTCTGTCTCACGTCCTGGCTTCCTCAGAACCAGGGCTCCCTGATCACACTGCCCTTTCTGTTTGTGATTGAAGGCAAAGGAAGCGTCCAGAGTCTGGGAGCATCCGGAAAACATTTCGAAGTGAGAGCCATGGGTTGAGCAGTCCCCTAACTGACTCCTCATCCCCGGGCGTGGGGGCTAGCTGCCGCCCCTCCTCCCAGCCGATCATGAGCCAGAGTCTCCCCAAGGAAGGGCCAGATAAGTGTTCCATCAGTGGGCATGGTAGCCTCAACTCCATCAGCCGACACTCATCCCTGAAGAATCGGCTGGACAGCCCCCAGATCCGGAAGACGGTGACAGCAGGGAGGTCAAAAAGCTTCAATAACCATCGGCCCATGGACCCAGAGGTCATTGCACAGGTAACTGGGGGCTCCTGGACAGACCCCTAGCCTGAGTCCCCTCTGCTTAGTGCAGCCCAGGCTGATTGTCACAGAACTCAGAACAGAAGGTTGCTCTGTATGCTATAAACTGAGATCAGGGGCTGTTGGACATCTGGAATGGATAAGACTGCTTTCCCAACAATGTGACTGTTCTCTCCTCAAGAAACTGAAGAAAAAATCAAGGAGTTCGGACATCTTGCTTATCCACTGGATGTTTTCTGAGGCCGTTATAATGTTTACAGACAGTTGTTCCAAATTCAGTACTTTGATAAGAGTCCACTTAGATCCTTGTAACCCAAGTTTTGGGTCTTGGAACCTGGTAGACTTCAGTGAAGCTGCCAGAGGGTTGAAGCTCAGATGTAACCCATCCCTGTCATACCATTTCCCTGAGGCAAGTCCCTGGCCCCTGGTGGGTGGACAATCAACAATCTGCTCCTGGTCTTGAAGGCCCAGAAATACTCTGTTGCTGGGAAAGGAAAGGGCTCAGGTACCAGAAGAATCTCTAGCCCAGGTCTCCAGTACCTTGGAGGAGGTGAGCCCTGTGATGATAGGCTTTTCCTTCCATACATGCGCCACACTGACAACTCTCTATTTTCCATCAAACATTAGAGATCCAACCCCACCTCTAAAAATCCGACTCCTGGGGCCACTCCAAGCAGTTCATTCAGACGTCTCTCCCAACTCTATAATTTTCATTAGACCAGGTAGGAATGAAGGGCTCACTGTAGTCCTCATATCTCAACTGAGTTGAGATTCTCTTCACCCCGTCTTCAAGGGGATGATAGAGGCTGAGTATGGTCTCTGTTGGCTTAATTGTGGTGCTCTGCTGGCAAGCACAGTATTAAGCTATGGGCCTGAAATGTCTTGCTTTGCTAGCCTTTTGTTTCTGTGCCTCTAATTAAGCTCTTGGCTGCCACCTGCCTTGCACCATGGGAATCCTCCCAGCACCCTCCTTGGCCAGGTGCTAATAGTATTGTACACAGCTGGGACAAGCTCTAGCTGCAGCATGGGACTGAGGAGAGCCAGGGAGTTCTTCCTGAGCATTTTTAGGGTTTGAGAACATTGTAGAGATGAGTGAGATTGAATTACTGCCAACCAAAAGCATGCCTCACTCTGTAGGACAAAGCAACCTTAACCAGGGACCTTTGGGGCAGGCAATCTTTCAATGTGAATCTAATTCCAAGAGAGGTGTCTTCTGGTAGTGTAGGGGTGCCAGACACACATTAGTGGGCAGGGGATGGGGGAGCTGGGAGGTCTCTCTGAGAAGATGCTGGCTTGCATACAAAGGGTCTTTGGTTCTCCCTTGAGCCCCTGAACTCAGACTGCTTTTTCCTCAGATCTGGAGTGTTCCACTGTGACTGGAAGAGGGTAATTCACCTGCATGGGCTTTGGCTCCCCCTCCTGGTCACTCTTTGGTCCCCTCTGTCCCATGGTGATGGGTAGAAGGAAACCGTGTCTTCAAGTGGAACACTCCCAGTAGTTGATGGGGGTAGAGGGTCCTGATGAATCTTCAGAGGGAGGGTGCTCCAACCGAACCTTCCCACAGCCCTTGAGAGCCCTTGAGGAGGAAGAACTGACCCCTTGACCTTTGGCCCTCAAGTCCCAGAGAACTAAAGATCTACTGTTCAAAAATATGTTGTAATTTCAAACATAAAGAGACGTTGAGAAGATTGGATAGTGAGTACCCATGTATTCATTACCCAGCTGTGACCCACTCGTATCCCTTCTACCTTGCCCTTCCCCACGGGATTTTGTGTCATGTCATCCTAAAAGATTTCAGTATCTCTACAGTGTGAGGACTTTCTCATGTTAAGTTATGTCTACTATAAGGAGCTCTGGTAGTGTAGTGGTTACGAATCGGGCTGCAAACCTTAAGGTCAGCAGTTCGAAACTACCAGCTGTTCCATGTAAAAAAGATAAGGCTTTCTGCTCATGTAAAGATTTACAGCCTCAGAAACCCTGTACAGGGTCGCTATGAGTTGGTTCTGACTCCACAGCACATAACAACAACAATATACTGCCTAAGGAGCCCTGGTGGTGCAGTAGTTGAAGTGCTCAGCTGATAACTGAAAGGTTGGCAGTTCAAATCCAGCAGAAGAAAAAAACTTGAGCTGCTTCCGTGGAAACCCTATGGGCCAGTTCTACTCTGTCCTGTTGGGTCACTATGAGCCACCATCGACTCATTGGTACACAAGAGCAGCGCTACTCATTAAAAAAAAACCATGACAGTGAAAATCCTTTTGTGCCCTTTCCCCCACATACCAAGCCTTTAGTATGTTCAAGGACTTTGACCAACTGAAATCATCTGGACAACTCCCTGAAGTTGGTTTCTTCATAGTTTGGTTATTGAAATGGGGTCCTTGGGGGATATCGCCTGTGTGGGCCTCACCTCCTCTTCCTGTGTTGCAGGATATTGAGGCTACTATGAACTCTGCCCTGAATGAGCTACGGGAGCTAGAACGGCAGAGCAGCGTCAAGCACACCCCTGATGTGGTTCTGGACACCTTGGAGCCCCTCAAAACCTCCCCAGTGGTCGCCCCCACATCGGAGCCCTCCAGCCCCCTGCACACCCAGCTCCTCAAGGACCCTGAGCCCGCCTTCCAGCGCAGCGCCAGCACCGCTGGGGACATCGCCTGCGCCTTCCGGCCTGTCAAGTCTGTCAAGATGGCTGCCCCGGTCAAACCGCCAGCCACCCGACCCAAGCCCGCTGTCTTCCCCAAAACAAATGCCACTGGCCCTGCTGTCAACTCATCAGCGTCCCCACAGCCCACAGACAAGTCTTGTACTGTCTGAGAGATGTAATTTAATTGTTCTAGACAAGGGGACTGTAGGGACTTAAAGACTGTTATTAAAATCTTCCTATTTAACTAGCTTGGGGACTTCAGTTGAAAATTAGATTCTAAGTTGTTCTTGCAGAAATTAGCCTCCCTATCACCCAAAACCTGGAGAATGACGCCCTATTGACGCCCTTCCCATTCCTTCCCACTGCCCTCTGCTTCCCCTGTTCGTGGTAATCCAGCCAGCTACAGTACATACATCCTTAGGTTAGCCAGAGGTAGATGTTCTCACTATAAGGTCACTGTGAAATCTGGCAAGGCACGCCCATGAAGATGTGGGCTCAAGTCTCAGTTCCCTGGAGGCACTGGGGCTGCCTTGATCACATGGTTGGCTATTGACATTCAACTCTCAGTGGCATCTTGTTTTGGGTACTGATTATAGAGAATCATATATAGTCCATTCTTTGTTTTATACACACACACAACATGAACACACCGTGTAGGTTATTCTAGTCTCTGGCATGTGTACAGCCTCTCCTGGTCTCTTTGTAAGTTATTGTGGCAGTTCACACGAGAGCCACCAGAGGTCGCTGTTTCCGTTACAACCCTTGTTCTGTCTGGGCCAGAGAACCTAGCCTTTGAAATCTCTCCATTATGTGAAGTTTAGCAGGATGGGACTCACTCCTATCATTGTTTGGGGCTTGGGACTTTCTCTCTGTCTTCTTTTTATTGATGTGAATTGATCACTAGTGTTTGCTTTTGCCTTTCTCCATCCTCTAGAAGTGCAAACCAGTCTTATTAAGGAGCTTCTAAAGTTTTTCTGAATGTATAGACATTTTTTGATGTTCTTTGTCTCTGATGGACCGTTTTCCATTTAGAACATTTTCCTGTATAAGACAGTTTTATAGCTGGTTCCTTTTATGATAGAGTCTTAAGAGGGTTTTATTATTTATGGCAGATTTGAAAAAGGTAAGACATGGGTCTTTTTCTTTTTTAGGCACTTAAAACAAAATTTAATATCCTATACATATATATTAAAAAAAAAAAATCAAGTGTGCTAACACAAAAATGATCTCCAATGAAAACTCATTCGAAATGTACCCCCTTAATTTGGTTATATATATATTGGTTATTATACAAGGTCTCTTTGGGGGGGCCAGTATAGATGGCTCTTAGCCGTCATTTGATTAGAAAGGGACACTATCTTTCTCCAAACGAGAACAAGTAAGGGAGCTTTGATGCCACAGCTCATAAGTGTTCCTAAGGCCAGAATCTGAAATAGAATATTATGTATATTTTGGCCTTTTTCTGAATCCCCTCCCAAAGGCACAAATGATGTCCTTTTCTGCTTTAATCCGGTTTCCAAACCTGGTGCCCACTAGTCTCCTCTAACATCATGCTGTGCCAGGGCTGGGGAGATTTACAAGCCAGGTTCAGAGGTCTCAAGCAGCTACTCGGGTTCAACTGAACCTCATGTCTCTGTGAATTCTGGTTTCAGAGCGGTACCTCATTGTTTCCTACACGTCAGGAGAGGTGGTGGGTTGCCATTAGGCAGAGACCTCTGAATTTTCTTTTCTTTGAGCTAGAAGCTCTGTTTGGGACCAGCATTTTGAAGTTGGTAGTTGGATCCATGGAAAGTGGTAGATTTTCCATTCTGTGTGAAGGAAAAGAAGAGCTTTGTGGGGAATTGCTAACTAGAAAGGTATTCTGGAACACGAGGGGAACCATCCCAAGAGCTCAAAGGAGAACTAAAGCCTTCGTATCATGAAAGAAGTCAGCCTATTAGAGGCAACCCAAAGTCCTTTGAGTTCTTGGGGTTAGCGGTTTGTCCTAGTGGCCTTGTCACCTGGACTTACACAGGTCCTGAGCTACCAGGGGACATGCTTACCCAAGGATGTGTTTCCTTGGCCAAAAATGAAACTTCTATCCTTCACTTAACATTCTTCTTAATCCAACTAATCAAATTGGTAACCATACTTGGCCTATCCCCTCCAGCATAGTCACCTGTTGAGAAAGTAAAGGCAAAACTTTCTTAATGACAGTTTGGAACCTAGTCTGTTGTTTCCGGCCTTATTTCTGTTTCTTTCTTACACATGACTTGTGTTCAACATCCCCTTGATCTGTGTCTGTCTGTTGATTTGCATTATGAACTGAACAGTGTGTGAGTGGTCACCTACGAAACCAAGTCTTAGCTCCCACCCCTGGGAGCCGAGTTGTCTTCCCCATCTCCGGTGCTCTTGGCACCTGTGTGATGGTCCTGTCGAGAGGACTAGGGACCCAGAGCAAGAGAGTCCTTCTCGGCCAAGTTCATTGCAATCAACTGGAATTCAGGCTGCACACTGTGATATTACACCGCAAAGCCAAATGGAGCTGGTCACCCAGGGCTTTAGGGAGACCAGTCTCGGTGATGTCTGCCTAAACCAGCGTGATGCATCAAAACACCCTGCTCTGCCCCTTGTGGCATGGATCCTCATCCTGGTGTGAACTCTGAAGGGTCAGTCTTTGGGAGAGAAAGAGGTGGGTGGGTCTACCAGCATCCCAATTTGGAAAACACAGGAGTTTGCAGCCAGCAGCAGCCTGTAAACTGGAAACACTGGTCTCAGCCAACCTCCTCAGGGCACCCTGGTTTCTCCCCAAGGAAAAGAGGAGAGAGATGATACCAGCAACAAGACAAACAGACCACTGGAAGGGCTGGTGTCGATGTAATTCATGTTCAGAAGAGAAATGAGGTCTTCCAGGGAATTGCAATGTTGTGGCGTCTGACTCCTATGTCACATTTGTGTAAAATGGTATATTCTTTAAAAATAGTGTTGATAACTGGAATATTGTATGTATGCTTGGAGATGCTTTGTATGAACCTAAGACTGTCACTCATCAGATGTTGGATTGGGGAAAATCCAAAGCACAACTTCAAAATAAAATACATTTTTAGGTTTCGATGCTGCAGTTCATACCCCTAATCCACTCTCTGAAGTCTCCCTCCCAGTTACACAGGAGGGATTTGGATTCGTCAGCTCTCACAGAACCCTGCCTGATGCGACTTCAGGAGCCAACCACCACTTCCCTTCCCCACCAAAGCTGAGTATTGCATTTGTTGTTGTTAAGTGTTGTCAAGCTGATTCTGACTCATCACCCCGTGTACAAACAGAACAGCCCTGTACCCTCCTCACAGTCAAGCTGCTATGTTTGAGCCCATTATTGCAGCCACTCTCCCCTCCCCATACCCACCCCAGCTTTTCTAGCCAATGAGTGGACCCTGGGAAGGTTTGGAGGAAGTCTCCCAGTTCCCCATTGGGCGATCTGTTGCCATGAGAACCATCTCCTTCACAGAATTCACTTTTCCGGTTTTAGATAAGGACTGTTCTCAATTTGCTCTTTAGTCAGAGTCCCTTCTTGAAGGAAAGATGCTTAAGAAGTTCCTTGCAAGCTTTTCTAGCTACAAGCAAGGGTAACAGAAGGTTTCATTTCTTCCATAGCCAACATCCCGTATCATTCTGCCCTTGGCAGCCCCTTTCCTCCAGGAGAAAAGTTGACCAGTATGTTTATGCTGTTGGTGTTGGTTGTTTCAGTACCAGACAGGAGCTGCAGTTGGAGTTATAGGGAATGTTCTCTCCTTTAAATTTTCATTCCAACCTGGCCTAAATCCAGGAGTGAAGCTGCTCAAAGGAGGTGACTTAAAAATGCATCCCAGAGCCCCCTGGGACCCACACTTGTTTTTAGTGGAGTTATTCTGATACCACAAACTACCAAAGATGAATCAAATATCTCACATCCAAAGGCGTACACTTGATCAATGGTTATACAAGGAATCGTACTGCCAGCCTAGGCTGAGTACTGCATACCCTCCCCTAAGTTTGCCATCTCTATTTGTGGTTTGTATCTTTTCTCCAACTGCCTCATGCACTTCCAACCTATTATCTCTTCTCCCTCCACCAACCATTCAGTAGTGAGCCCAATAAGTATTTGCACCACCCAGGGACTCCCAGTTGGCAATGAGTACAGTCAAAACATGGGACCGTTCCATCCAGTTAGAAACCAAAAAAGAACCAGGGTGAACTTAGGAAATAGTCTAAAGAGTTCTAATCTAAATGCTTATATCCTTAGGTATATATGGTTTCTTTTTATTCAGGAATTAGTAACCTTGCCATTTAACACATTCCAAAGACTCAGTTATTCAGTCAACAAACAGTAATAGAGTACTGAACAGGGGAAACTGATTACAGAGCTTTCATTCTAGCCATTTTACATACCAAGATGATGAAATAAGTGGTCCTCTGAAAACAAAACGGTAATTGGACAGTGCCTTCAGGAGTCAGAAAGGCTGTTGTTGGGGAGGGGATAGTGTGGGAAATTATACTTGGGCTTGTCCTGGTCAAGTCAAGATATCTACTAGACATCCAAGTGGAAATTTGAATTGGGAGGTCTGGGGAGAGATCATACCTGAAAACAAATTTAGGAGCTAAAGGTGTGGCACTGTGGGTTAATCCACTGGACTGCAAAGTCGATTTGAACAGCAAGGTCAGCGGTTCAAGCTCACCAGCCACTCCTTGGAAACCCTATACAGGGTTGCTGTGGGTTGGAACTAACTCACCGGCACTTAACATGTTCAGACTATGAAATTCCCACAAAGAACTTGGGGATGGAAAGATGCTAGCTATTAGAAATCCAGCAGAGGAGAAGGGAGGCAGGTGATTCCGAGAGCACAGAATCCAAGAGAAGTCGAGGTTTAAACAAACAGGGAAGGACCAACTACACAATGCCAGTGGGGTAAGATGAAAAGTAATTGGTGATTTGGACAAGAGCACTTTGAGTAGAGGGGAAATGAGTCTACTTTGAAGAAGGTGAGTAGCTGATGGAACAAGAAGAAGGGGTGTGTAACGAGTCCACTCATTCAAGTGTTGCTTTGAGGGTTGCAGTAAACTAGGGACCAAGTTTTGTTTTTGTTTTTAAGATGGACTGTGGAGACCTAGGGAGGGTCCACTAGAATGGGAAGAAGTAAACTTCAGGAGAACGAGTGGAAGCATTGACCCTAATCAGGAGAAGGGGCACTTCCTCAGGCCTCATGGGTGGGAAGGCAGGTAGTAGACAAGGGGGTGAGAAAATGAGGGAGCTCCCTTTTGATGACTCCTCTCTTTTCTGTGAAGTATAAGAGAAGAGCTGAGGGTGGGAGAAGATGGTGCGTAGGAAGTTTCAGGGGTCAGTAGGGTGATGGAATGCTGGTTTGTACACACGAGGAAGGACTGTGTGGTACCATGCAGGCCACTTTCTCTCACTGGTCTGGAGGTTTCTCTCAACAGCCCCTTGTTCTACTGTTAGAGGAGCAGTCTAGGTCTGGGTGGAGGATTTGTTCCCTTGCTCTCCTCCAGAGCTGACTCCTGTCGTGGCTAAGGGCTATCTGGTAACCTCCTTGTTCAACCCTTCTATTGTGATAAGCACAGTAAGGACACACTGCTGCCCAAATCCCCACCCCTTCTACAGACCCACCCTTTCCCTAATCCTTCTCCTTTAGAGCAGGTGAGTCAGCTGTGAGAAACAGGCTCAGACCAACTAGGGACAGAAAAAGCAACCAATGTGTATTCAGATCCACCAGGTAGCAGGTACTTTATCTCATTTTGTCTTCATACCCACCCTCTGGGATCCTGAGACCCAGAAAGGTTGCGTGACTTGCAATGGATCACACTAAGTTGTAGAGTCAGGATTCAAGCCCGGGCATTAATGATGAAACCTCTGCCCTTCCCATGATACCATTCTACCATCCTTTGTAATAGACAAATGAGAGATTTTTCCTTGAGAGCTACCTTAGAGGACCCTCCTCTTCATGCCTCTGGTCTTTGTACCACCTTTGAATTGCACTTGTGTATCTATGATTCCTCAGAGCCACTTGAGAAAATGTGGTGAGGCCTCTTACAGACTCCCCCTCTCCCCTCGGGAACCTTTCAGGCCCCTCTACCTCCTCAAGTGAAACACTGGTCACACTGCCTCATTGGGTCCCAGAAGCTCAAGACTTCATTCATCTTGTCTAAGCCGACCTCAAGAATGCCCAGTGAAGCGGGATCTGTCACCGCACACAGGTCTAGCCCACCTTCCACCTCTCCGTCTTTTCTCTAGTTTTTCTGCACATTACCCTAAACAAGCCACACTCTTTACATGCCTTGTCTCTAATCCCTGCTGTTCTCTCCTTCCCAAGTCTGGCCAAGCATCACTCGTCTGCCAAACCCTTATTGACCACTGCATACTGCCCCCAACCTCCAGGTTTCCAAAGTCACCATCTGCTGCGTCTATCAGAGCTTTCACTAAAGCCCTAGAGAGAGTTCTTGGGTTCCCTTTGTGTCCTCAGCATACAGCACCTGGTTCAGAGTAGGTGCTAGACACACAGTCCTTGCATTCACTAGACACACAGTCCTTGCATTCGAAGGTGCAAAAGACACTGGGAAAGAGATTGAGCTTGTTGGAGAGAAGAACGTGGGCTGCTAGCGAGGACTGAGCAGGTTCATCAGGTAGAAATGGGTAGATGCTTGAAGGCAGGCCTAGTTATATTGCAATAACAAACAACCTCAACACCTCAAGGACTTTAAACAATGTTGGTTGCCATCAAGTCATTTGAGACTCAAGATGACCCCTTGTGTGCAGAGTAGAACGGCTCCATATGGTTTAATAACCTTTAAAAAGCGGGTCACCAGGTCTGTGTGGGTTCCAACTGCCACGTTTCAGTTAATAGTGGTGGTGGCTGTGTGCCGTGGAGTCGGTTCCAACTCAGAGTGACCCTGTACAGGGTTTCCAAGGCTGTAAATCTTTACAGGGGCAGAAAGCCTCATCTTTCTCCTGCGGAACAGCTGGTAGTTTCAAACTGCTGACCTGGCAGTTCGCAGCCCGATTCGTAACCACTACGCTACCAGAGTAAATAGTCAAGAGGGTTAACCATTTTCACTACCCAGGAATCCTTAACAAAGGTTGATTTCTGACCAACGCTGCATATCCCCTGTGAGCCAGCAGGGGGCTCTACTCATGATAACCACTGAGGCCCATGATGGAGCAGCTGCCATGTCTAACAGAATCATCGTATCAGTGGGCAGGGACTCCAGGGGATCTTGCATCAGCAATAAACTATTCTGGCCTGGAAATCACATGGCTCCACCAATCATAGGAGCACTCAGGAAGTGTAATACGCCTGGCAGGTGGGGAGCTGGAGATACTGTCTTAAGAGCACGAGAGCCCCAGAATGTGGTTACGAATCGGGCTGCGAACCTGAAGGTCAGCAATTCGAAACTACCAGCTGTTCCGCGGGAGAAAGATGAGGCTTTCTGCTCCCGGTAAGATTTACAGCCTTGGAAACCCTGTACAGGGTTGCTATGAGTCGGAACCGACTCCGAGGCACATAACCACCACCACCACCACTGTGAGAACCCATAGTGCAGTGCCTTTGGATAGGCCTAGCTCAGCGCCTGTATTTACGGGTGTTATCAGCAGGTATCTATCTGAGCATGAGGCAGCTCTCAGCCTGGCTCCTGTTCTTAGTGTCGCTATGAGAGGGGTGGGGCTGGCAGAGGAAACCATCAGGTGTGGCCATGGGAAAGTCCCAACATTCAATAGAAACATGGAATTTCCTGGTTTTAACCATTTCTTATCCAACCGCCATCTGAGAGCTGGGCGCCTGGGAAAGCTGATTGGGACATCAAGTCTTGAGTGGAAAGCTGGCACACCCAGCAGTCTCTGAAGGTCATAGGCAAGATACTGAAGGTCGCTGGGCCTCTAGACCTGGCTGTAAAATATTTTCCCGTTTCCCAAGTATTTGTTATTGTTGTTAAGTGCCATGTAGTCATAGTGACACTGAACAGGGAGGCTTTCCAAGGAGCAGCTGGAGGGAATGAACCACTCACCTTCCGGTAAGATGGCGGTTGGATAAGAAATGATTAGCAGTCCAGTGCTTATCCTACAGCACCACACCAGGACTCCGAGAATATTTGAATACATTGTTTCATGGCACTGGTGTGGCACTGCAGGATAATGCATGGGACTGCAAGGTCAGTTTGAACCCTCCTAGGAAACTCTACACAGAGTGACTATGAACTGGAACCAAGAACAATCCTCAAGCCATGAAAGAGAAAACTGGCTGGGAGATCCTGTGTTGTTGACACATCTGGGGCCCAAGACTCTTTCTTGGGAAGATGAGATTTCTCCTGGGAGTGGCTAGCCTTAGGCCTGGTCTCCAGGGGTTCCTGGGCTCCATTGTGGGAACAGGCCTTCCCACATACCTCTCCTTTAGTTAACTGGCCCAACCTGCTTTGTTGTCTCTGGCAGAGCCCTGAACGTCCCTGCTCCTGTGAAGTGCTAGAGATGCCAAAATAGCACCCAGTGGCCTGCCACAAACACTTGGGCCTCAGCTCCTGGCCTCTTTGTGGCTCACACACTGGCCCGGAACAATCCATGGCTTCCACTTGGGCACTTAAAGGATCATCTTTCTCCTTCCTGTTGGGGGTGGTCTGCGGTGGCTGGGCTGCCTCTGTCTCTTTAAGAAAGAGACAGAAGGAAATCAGGAAGTGTGAGAACACAGTGAGCTGAGCTGAGTGGCCACCAGAGGCCGGCAGGAAGCCCTCTGACATCTGTGCAAGGCCACATCAACTGGCCAACCTGCAGGTCCCTGAGGCCCAAGGCCCCCAGGATGCTATGTGTGTTGCCCATTAATGACAGTGTGCCCTGAAAGCTCCTGGGTGCTTTAGTCCTCACTTCCATAGTCCTCATTCCCTGGCGCTGAGATGGGGTGAGTGTGCCCGATCCTTGGACTTGGGGGAGGAGTGCAATGGCAGTGGGGAGGGGAGATAGCTGCAGGGCAGCCCTGAGCTGGGTACAGATTGTGTCTGCAGTGGCTCTCTGGGCCCAGAGCCCCCTCCCCGGATGTCTGTGCTACTGTGGGCCCAGAGGATGTCTGTGTTCCATCCACTTGGAAGGAACTGTTTGGAGGGGGCAGGGAGGGTGTGACATAGAGGGGGGCTGCTGGCCACCACCAGCACTTCTGGGCTCTCCATTTCCAATGTTTAGCTTCAGCCTCCATGCTTTCCTCCTGTCCACCTCTGGTGCCTGCTCTCCCTCTCCTGGAGGCTTTCACCCTGGCTGGGGAATCTGAGCGCAGAGGAAAGTCTCCAGCACAGCTGGGGAGCAGGACTGGAAACCCCCAGCCCTGTGGGAAAGGTGACAAACAGGAAAGGGTTAAAGGGCTGGGGCCAGAGGCCTTTGATGGAGGCAGAGACTTAAACGGCACCCTATCATCCGCCCTCCTCTTTCCGGTGTAGCTCAACCCCTGGACTTGCCACAGAAGGAGAGCTTAACACACCCTGGCTGAGGACAATGTTTGTCTGATCCAGGACTGCTCAGAGCTTGAGGTTAAGTGCGGTAAGTGCCCATCTGGCTGCAGCAGAGGTTGTGGGAGGCAGTGGGTGGGGCGACTGGCTCACTGCTCAGCCCACCACCCATTCATCCAGCCGCTGGCTGAAGCTTGTGAACAATAGGCAATGCTGGGGGCTGCAGAGGGCTTCCGGCACGACCAGGTCCCCTCTGGCTCTGCCCTCTGCACCACACTGCACCACACCCTGGGGTCTTTAGCTGTCCACCCTCACACCCCAGAACCCTGGGCTGAGCCCTTTGCTTTGATCTCGGGGTGCTTGCTCAGGGCCTCATACCTCCACAGCCCCCAGACCTGCTGGTTGATTTCTCTTCCTCAGGAGGAAGAACCAGGTGAGCTCGCTTTCAGGGCCTTAATGTCATCTTCAGGGAGTCTTTCACTACCTCAGTTGCTTCTCTTAAATGGAAACACTAATACATTATCTTCTGGCTCGAGGAACTGGCATTCTCAAGTGATTTACATTTTTTAAAGTAAGACTGTAGAGAAAGAAGGCTCAAAGCTGAGATGTGGTGGATTCCCAGGCACACTGAGAACCTATGTCAGGTAGGAGGCCTTCCCTGAGAGTGTTTAAGGGATAATGCTGCTGCCTTGGCTCCTTCTCCTACCCACTTACTGATGTCAGGTGGATTCCAGCTCACAGTGACCCTATAGGACAGAGTAGAGCTGCTCCTCAGGGTTTCTGAGTCTGTAAATCTTTATGGGAACAGACTGCTTTATCTTTCTCCTTCAGGGTGGTAGGTTTGAACGACTGACCTTGAGGTTAACAGGCCAAGGCTTAACCGTATATGCAACCAGGGTTCTTTTCCTTGCCTCCAACCCTTCCTCCCCAAACACACATATACACCAAACCCAGTCATCCCAAAAGACGAGTCATGACTCTATTTTTCAAGGAGGCATTGAGTTGAACTTCTCTGGGATGGATTTGTTTAGAGGGACAAGCCTTTGGAGAGAAGAAGGGTGCACGGATGGGGAAGGGAGTTAAAGAGGAGCTTCAGAACCTCCCCTGAGATTGAATTGGCTTCTGCCCCCACACTCATGCACGCTCACACTGTCACACATACGCACTCACCAACACACTCAGGGACACGCACTCTCACGCACACACATCCTCACACTCCTGAGCAGCCCTGACCTGGCCAGGCTGGCTGCCCAGGGAACAGCTGTTAGCTCACTGCAGCAGGAAGTGGTGGGCCCCTGTGAGTACATGGGGAGGGGCTCCAAGCTCATGTTGCAATCCTGGAGATTTGTGGTGGTGTGGGTTGACGCAGCCTGACCCAGGGCCCTCCCTCTAACACAGTTTCTGCTTCCTGGGACAATTCCAGGCTCGCTGGCAGAAACCTGGAATTCTCAGAGCCTGGCAGAGGTGAGAGAACAGAGGTTTGCCTCTCCAGGCAGGGGGGTTACAGCTGAATGCCTTATGCGTGGGACAGGTGCAGACCGTGGGTTGTGGGACAAATGTGGGCCCTCTTGATGCCGTGTGCTGTTTCCTTTTGAGGAAGTTACTTAACCTATCTGAGCTTCACACTCCCCCAACCCTTGCCACTGGATTGGCCACAGGAACCCTTCATGGGATGGTCTTGGTCAGACCACTGGTCTTGACCACAGGTATTGATGACCTCCAGGACCCCCAAGCATGTTCTTTTTCTAGGCCAACGGTGGCAGGCCAGCAGGAGCAGGAGATGCAGAGCACTGTCAACTACCTGTGGCACACAAATGACCTGCTGGGGCAGGGGGCCACCGCCAGTGTGTACAAGGCCCGCAACAAGGTAAGGTGCAGAACTGGTTCAGTCCGCAGCAGGCAGCAAGAGTGGACAGTAGTTGAAACTGCTGGACTTTGTTCTGCATGTTTCGGGGGGACTAAAGGGAGGTTTGAGCAGGGGTATAGGGACTGAAAGGGACTGCCAGGGATGACACCTGGGTCAAGCAGGGTTGGGTCTGGGGAGAAAGAGATAAAAGCACAAAGAAAAGCATCCAGGGGTAGCAAATTGGCTCTGGGAAGATCAGGGATTGGAAACAGGACTTGCTAGGAGTTCTTTGCAGAGCTGTATTAGAATATATGAGATAATACTCTCACAGATTTAAGAGCAGTTTAAGCCAGACAGAGCAGTTTCCAATCCTAGTCCCATGCTAACATTGCAATTATTATCAGTACCAATAGTGATAATAATTACAAAACAAAACGAAAAGAAACACCGTTTGCTGTAGAGTCAGCTCCAACTCATTATGACCCATGTGTGTCAGAGTAGAAGTGTGCTCCATAGGGTTTTCAATGACTGATTTTTTGGAAATAGACTTTCTTCCAAGGCACTTCTCTCTGGGTGGCCTGGAACCTCCAACCATTCAGTTAGCAGCAAAGTGGGTTAGCCATTACCTGGGGACTCCAGCATCAGAAGAGTTAAGGACCAGCAAGCATATCATCATCCACAGTGTCACCCTCGGTCACTTTTCAGGGCTGGATCTGGGAAGGGGAAGGAGCAGAGGGTAGAAGGTCTGGCTGCACGCAGACTGTCCTTTCTCACCTCTGGTGTTGGGCTGGCAGGAGAGGTTGCACTGAGACCTGGGAAGAGGTCTTGCCATGTTTCCTGTGCTGTTGCCCACTCCTCCCCTTTACTTTACAGAAATCTGGGGAGCTAGTTGCTGTGAAGGTCTTCAACAATGCCAGCTACCTGCGACCCCGAGAGGTGCAGGTGAGGGAGTTTGAGGTCCTGCGCAAGCTGAACCACCAGAACATCGTCAAGCTCTTTGCGGTGGAGGAGACGGTGGGTCCAGGGCTTGGTCATAGGAAGACCCCATGGGCTGGAAGAGTGGGCTCACACGGTGACAGATTTGGTTTCATGCTCACCAACAACTCAGCCAGAGCAAACCACCAAAAACCAGTTGCCAAGTTGATCCTGGGCAGAACCGTGCTACATAGGGCTTTCAGTGGTTGATTTCTCTAAAGTAGATCACCAGCTTTTTCTCCCAAGGCATCTCTGGGTGCGTGGACTTGAATTTTGGTTAGCATTCAAGCCTGTTAACTGTCTGGACCACCCAGGGACACTGAGAGGAATAAAGAATACCAGGGGAAGGAGCTTAATTGGAGAGGGCTTTTTGGAAAAAAATGATGCTCTGTTCTAAAATAGATAATCTGTATGAGACAAAGAAGGGAGACCAGACCAGAAGCTAGGGAATTGGGGCCTTTGAGCTGTAGGCTGAGCCATCTCCTCTTGAGAAAGCTGGTTTCTGGACCACAGGCATGGGCGAGAAAAGGCGGCGGTGGCGGCCTTTAAGCCTCCCTCTATCTCCGCACAGGGCAGCAGCCGGCAGAAGGTGCTGGTGATGGAGTATTGCTCTAGTGGGAGCCTGCTGAGTGTGCTGGACAGTCCGGAGAACACCTTTGGGCTGCCGGAGGATGAGTTCCTGGTGGTGCTGCACTGCGTGGGTGAGCCTCCCTGAGCACTGCTGCTGGAAGTCCCCACCACAGCACCAGGCAAAGTCCTGAAACAAGTATCCTAACAGGGACAATCGCTCAGAACCTCCTAAGGCCTTGTATCCCAGGTGTGGGGCACACACGGTTGAAGGGGCAGGGGCAGGACCCAGGTTTCAAACTCCACTTTAGGAGATCTGGTTGTGCAAGATTGCGAATGTACTAAACACCATTGAATTGTTCACTTTCAAAGAGTTCGTTTTATGTTGATTTCTCCTTTTTTTTTTTAAGTAAAAACAAAACCACTCTAAAAGTAAAATGGAGGGGTCGTGGAATGGGTACCTTTTCCTCTAACCCAGATTCTTCCCTCCACAATTAAAGGCCAATTGGACTCAGTCCTTCCTGGATGTCTTGGAGTCCAGATAGAACCTGATACCCCAGTTTCCTGGGGACTTCCTGCCTTTGCCCTGTGCCTGTCTCTGTATTCTTGCTTTTCCTGTGGCCGTCAGCTCATGGGTCCCCCTCTGTCTAGACGTAAGGATGTCTTCCCACAAGGTGGTGGCTCAGACCCTACGGATGCAGCCCGAGCCATTAGCAGCTTTCCTCTGTCCCCAGTGGCTGGTATGAACCACCTGCGGGAGAACGGCATTGTCCACCGGGACATTAAGCCTGGGAACATCATGCGCCTCATGGGGGAGGAGGGCCAGAGCATCTACAAACTGACAGACTTCGGGGCCGCGCGCGAGCTGGATGACGACGAAAAGTTCGTCTCGGTTTATGGGACTGAGGAGTATCTGGTGAGTAGGCGTTGAGGAGCGTGTTCCAAGCTGAGGACCCCCCGAAGGTCCCCTGAGAAGGGGCGGGTCCATCCTCCTTCTAGCAGGGTTCTATCTCACTCCGTTTTGTTCTCTGAGACTGAGGAGGGGGTGCTGCCAACCTGGTACTCCCTGAGGACTGGAAGCTTCTGGTTAACACTGTCATAGGGCACCGGGCGGGCAGCGGGGAATACTGGGGAGAGGCAAACAGACTCCCATTTTTGCGAAGACAAGTGGCCCCTTGTTGTTGTTAGTTGTCATGCCAAATTCCAAGAGGTCCCTGTTGTTAAGTGCCGTTGAATCAGTTCTGACTCATAGCAACCCTGTGTAGGGTTTCTGAGGAGCTGCTGGTGAGTTTAAAGCATTGACCTTGCAGTTCAAGTTGACCTTATGGTGGAGTGCTTATCCTACAATGCTACACCAGGACTTCAAGAGGTCCCTAGGTGGTGCATATGGTCTGTTAATCTAGAAGTTGCTAGTTTGAACCCACCCAGTAGTATGGCTGGAGATCGTGACCTGCTTCTGTAAAGATGTTGTTGTTAAGTGCCATCAAGTCAATACCGACCCATAGCGACCCTAAATAGGGTTTCTGCGGAGCGGCTGGTGAGCTTGAACCATCGACCTTGAAGTTCAAACCAATTTTGCAGTACAGCGCATTAACCCACAGCACCATACCAATGGCCAAGAAAACCCTATAGGGCAGTTCTACCCTGTAACATGTGGGGGCGCTATGAGTCAGAATCAACTTGATGGGGACTCACCACAATGTTCATCAGTAACCCTGCTCAACACACACTGGGTAGAAGGCTCCATTTTTGAGATTACAAAGGAGGTGGTTGTGAAGGGTTCTGTTTTCCTTGTAGGCTGTGGAAGGGGTCTGATTGTGGGGCTCAGGCCCATACTCACCCTCGCCCTCAACACTCCCCTCTACTGCTCTCTCCTTAGCATCCCGACATGTATGAGCGAGCAGTCCTTCGCAAGCCCCAGCAGAAGGCGTTTGGGGTGACGGTGGATCTCTGGAGCATTGGGGTGACCTTGTACCATGCAGCCACGGGCAGCCTACCCTTCGTCCCATTTGGTGGTCCGCGACGCAACAAGGAGATCATGTACGGTGGGCCTCAGGCAGGGAATGAGGAGGCACAAGCCCAGGCCTTCTGATATGTACACAACAGGCCCTTCTCTCCCATGGGTCCCGGCTGGGTCTCCATCATGATGTCACTGTTCCTCCTACTTCCCCTCAAACTCTATGGTTCTCCTCTGGTCTGACCTGCTACCCCAGCCTTCTCCCAGGTTCCATTCAATAACTTTGTTAATCAGTCCATCAAGCAAGAAGCTTAACCCTAGCCTTGGTCTGGTGGGAGATGGGTAATCACCTCCATATGTGATTCAGGGCTTCTCTTTACTCCCGCCCCTCAACTTTGCTGCTCACCACATCTAAACTGAGCCTCAAAAAAGTGACTTGCCCAAGGTCACAAAGGATGCCAGGCAAAGGTGGGACAAGCAGCCAGCCTCCTGACCCCCAGCCCCCTGCTGTCTGGAATAGTAACAGCAGAAGTAACTGGAGCTAACAGTGGCTCTTGTGGGAACAGAGGAGATTTTAGATGGATCAGTAAGGAGTTCAATGCACCCACATTCAGCTCAGAGCCCCAGCTGTGTGTGAATGCTGTTGTTGTTAAGTGGCATTGAGTCAGTTCCGACTCACAGTGACCCTGTATAGAATTTCCAAGGAGTGGCTGGTGGGTTTGAATTGCTGGCCTTGTGGTTCAAGCTGACCTTGCGGTCCAGTGTATTATCCTGCAGCACCACACCAGTGCTGAGTAACCCTTTATTGGGTTTAGGGGAAAGGGTTGGCCTGGACTGGGCTTGTCAGGGAAGGCTGGACTCTGAAGGAGGATATTGAGGGCCAAGTAGAGCATAGGCAGAGGTGTGGAGGCAGGCTGGGTAAGGAATGTGTAAAGAGGAGGTAGAGGCAGCGGACAGTGAACAGGTCTGTGTATCTAGAGCAGAAAGTGCCCCAAGTCAAGGCAATCTCATGGGTTGTCAGCCAGGACTCTAGAATTCCATTTATTCAGACTTCCTCATAGTACTTGGGTGACTTTGAACAACATCATCCCCTTGTGGGTGAGGGACTGGGGTACCCACTAGCACAGCCCTACCTCATCCCAGGTACCGAATCACCACAGAGAAACCAGCGGGGGCCATTGCGGGCACTCAGCGGCGGGAAAACGGGCCGCTGGAGTGGAGCTATGCCCTCCCCATCACCTGCCGGCTGTCGATGTGAGTGGGGCCCTGGGAGGTGGGCAGACATAGCCCCCAGTCTGTGGCATCACCTCCCTGCTGAGAGCTGTAGCTTCTGAGACCCGGTCCCGGGGCTGCTGGACCAGGCACAGCACATGCCCTTTCTGGGCTCAGTTTTCCATCTGGATACTGGAATAATTCCATCCTGCCCCCTCGGTCCTGCTTCCTCAGGACGTTCTTATGGATTGCCCCTACAACCTACTCCAGGAAGGTCCCTGGTTGGCACAAACTGTTTACGTTTGACGACTAGCCAAAAGGTTGGAGCTTCCAACCCACCCAGTGGCACCTTGGAATAAAGGCCTGGTGATCTACTCCCATAAAGATTACAGCAAGGAACCCCTCAGAGCTCAGGTTGACTCTGTACACATGGAGTCACCCTAGAGTCGGAATCTACTCAATGGCAATGGGTTTGGTTTGGGCCTACTCAAGGAGAACAAGTCCAGGTCTTGACCCCTGACCCCTCTGTGTCCTGGGAGAACAGGGGACTACAGAGTCAGCTGGTGCCCATCCTGGCCAACATCCTGGAGGTCGAACAAGCCAGGTGCTGGGGCTTCGACCAGTTCTTTGCGGAGACCAGTGACATCCTACAACGTAACATCATCCATGTCTTCTCGATGTCCCAGGCAGCCCTGCACCATGTCTATATCCACGCGCACAACACGTAAGTGGGGACCTGGAGAGAAAGCAGGAAAGCCCTTCTTTACCCCTTGGGGTAGGGGTGGGGTCACAGTAGAAGGCTGCCTAAGCCAGCACCTTCCAGAGCAAGTTCTGCAGAGTGTTTAGATAGGAAAGCTTCCTGGTTCAAACTTAGTAGTTTGGAAAACTATTCATTCCACCAAGTTAAAATTAAACCAAGTTAAAATCAAAATTGCTGCCGGACTTCAGAGATTCAGCAACTTTGATGTTGCAAATGTACATTATAAATCTCCCAGAAAAGTGGACAGGGCATTTCCCAAATTTGTTTGCTCATAGAACCTTTTTTCCTGGAGAATTTTGTGGGACTAGATGAATTTTAATGGAGTGTGGCGAGAACCCTGAATTCTGCCTCCATGCACTGTAAGACAAGCGCTCCACTTTGCCTCTCTTTACCCCTGATGAAAAACAAAACACCCCAGGTCCTTCCTCTGACATGCTGAGCCCCTGTCACAGACAGTAGTAACTGGGATTTGGTCATCCTGTCCTTGTCTCCTGCATGCTGTACCCACCCCTGACACGTTCTGTCCTTCCTTGTCCCCCTGTGCATCCCTTCCAGGATTGCCATCTTTCTGGAGGCTGTGTATGAGCAGACCAGCGTGGCACCCCAACACCAGGAGTACCTCTTTGAGGGCCACCTCTGTGTTCTCGATCCCAGCCTCTCGGCACAGCACATCGCTCACACCACTGCAAGCAGCCCCCTGACCCTGTTCAGCATGGCCAGTGAGACCCCCAAGGGGTTGGCCTTCAGGGACCGTGAGTAGGGTTACGCTGGTGGGGCCTCTTCTCCTCCCCCTCACAGTCTCCCCCGAAAGATGACAGCTTACAAGCTGGGGCATTGCTTAGTTCTCTTTGTAGGTCTTTGGGGGCCACCAGGTATAGGAGGCAGAAGTAGTTCTAACTCTGCATGTGGCTGAGCATCACAGTGTCCTCAGAGTTGAGAAAGAAAAACTCCAAGTGGCACGGAGATTAGGATTTAATGTGCTCTCTGCAAAGTGCAGCTGGTGGGGGAGTCTCAGCATATGTGTTGTAGGAGTAAGGGAAGTCAGAAGGGGTCCAGCGTAAAATCCGACTCCTCATTTGGGTGATGCTAATTTCATCTGCCTCTTGGGGGTCCCTGAGACTGGGAAGGGAAATTAACCTTGAAGCCCATTGGCAGCAAGGTGGTTTGGGACCATCTTTTGGCTGTTGAGATGAGGCCTTGGGAAGGAGAACAACGTTCTCCAGAGTGGACACTGGGAGGCAGTGAGGGACTACAGCTAGAACACCGAGTGTGTTTGAGGGGAAGACCTGGAGAGGCTTGGCAGGTGGGGGGCGCTAGTGAGTTAGGAAGCTTGAGGCCGAAGATTGGGGTGAAAGTGGATGTGAGCTAGAATGAGGAAAGGTGAGCTCTGCATTAGTCCAGGACTGTAGAGGCAGGCCCCTCAGATAGGGTCTTTGTCTGCAGCTGCCCTGGACATCCCCAAGTTCGTCCCCAAAGTGGACCTGCAGGCAGATTACAACACCGCCAAGGTGAGGGGCAGGCCCAGGTGACAGGGAAGGGGTCCCACAGAAGTAGGGGACAGGGGAACTAACCCTGCCCACCTGTGTGTTTCAGGGTGTGTTGGGTGCCGGCTACCAATCCCTGCGGCTCTCACAGGCCCTGCTGGGTGGGCAGGAGATGATGCTTCGGGGACTGCACTGGGTGGTGTGAGTACCCTAAGGGCCGGCTGGAGAGGGTGAGGCTGGGCAGGAGGCTCACAAGGGCAACCCAGACCACTACCAATTCGTAAGCAGGGAAGTCTGACCCGCTCCCCTTGGACAGGGAGGTGCTCCAGACCACGTGTAGGCGGACGCTGGAGATCACACAGACAGCCCTCTTCTTCCTTAGCAGCAGCCTGGGCACCGAGAGGTGGGTGTCCTGCCTATGGCAGGGAAGTCTCTGCCAACCTGTTCTTCATGCCTGATATTTCCAGTAGTACTCTTGCCCTCCCTGGTCCAGAGCTCCTGCCTTCCCTGTGCTGTAGAACAGGGGAATACTCCCACCTCACCCCTAACAAACTCCTGCACATCTCCCACTGCCTCAGAACAAAGGGGCCTGGAGGTTCATCTCTGGGTCAAAAGAAGGGGCCTCCTTCCTGTGAGACCCTTCTATGACTTAGCTAGACAGCCTGGAGAGGAGATCTAGGAGCCTGTCACCCAGACCCTGGACAGGCCAGGGCATAATAACTCATATAATCACCCCTCCTGGCCCCTTGTCCCACATTCTCTGATTCCCTACCTCTCTCTCTGGATTCCTACACCACCACTCTTCAGTGGAGATGTCAAGTGATGGAGTAGAAAAGGGGAGAGTGGGGAGGAGGGAACCAAACTGGAGGGTCTGGAGCTGAGAAACCCAGGGTGGCTCCCCTCACCCCCCGGGAATAGGGCACAATCTGGAAGGCGAGCAATGGGCTCAGAGGCCGGGGAAGCTGGTGGAAGGCTTTCCTGCCTAGAGGAGGTGCGTGGTGACAGGGGAGTAAAGCCTGCTGGCTGTCCCACTCCTCCACCCTCCCATCCTGTCCCACCCTGTGTCCCTGGCCCTCCTTCCAAGAGCTTCAGGGAATTTCCCAACAACAGGGTTGACTCACTGGAGACTTGCTGCTGCCAAATCCCAAGAGGCACACAGGGCAGTGCGAAAAGGAGAGAGCGTCTCCAGGGGGCAGGGACAGAGTCCCCATCAGGACCCAGCTCCTTCATGTGGTGGAACTGCAGAGAACAGGGCCTGTAGGCTTGGTTGATGAGTGCCCAGTGAGCAGAGCTCTGTCAAGACACAAGTCCAAGGACAGTGGTGATATTATCCCACAATCTCCTGCAGGACCTGGGCCTCCCTGAGAGCCCTTTCCCAACATGTGAGGGCTAGTAGGATGGGTAAAGGGAGATTGGAGGTGGGTAGAGGCAATTGCAGAGGCATGCTTGGAAGAGATGAGTCTTTTAAGGCCAAAAGGAAAAAGAATACCTTGGGCAGGAAAGTCTTGTGCAGAGATAGAAAAAGGCCAGTTTTGGGGGACAGGAAGTCACGCTCATGATGGAAAATGTCCCAGAGGGGAACTGGAGAGTGATGGATGGGTGGAAAGTACAAGGGAAAATTCGTGAAGGTCCCTGAGGCTGTAGTTGGGAGGCTACTGTTGACTGGACTCATGGTGACCCCACATGTGCCAGAGTAAAGCTGCACTGATTTTTTGAAGTAGATTTCCAGGCTTTTCTTCAAAGGTACTTCTGGGTGGACTCCAACCTTGTTAGCAGTTGAGCTTGTTAACAGCCTTATGCCACCCAAGGACTCTATTGGGAAGTTGGCAAAACAAAAAACAAACCCACTGCCCAATGCCCTCAAGTGGATTCTGTCTCAGAGTGACCCTGAGGAGCACAGTAGAAGTGCTCCAGTGTTCTAAATTTTCAAATCTGCAAATCTCTTTACAGAAGCAGACAGACTGAATCTTTTTCTCATAGAGCAACTGGTGGGCTCACTGACCTTTCCGTTTACAGTTGAGTTTACAACTGCTATACCACCAGGGCCCCTCTTTTGGAATGTTAGGACCCAATAGAATAACTGGTGGGGACTCACTGCAGGTTCTAAATCAACAAAGAGATGTGTAAGAAGGCATTCTGGGTGTTTATCCCCTCTCTTCCTGCACTGTCAGGAGTGGTCGTCTGACCCTGAGTCTGGAGTCCTTGTGTCTCTGGATTGTATCTCTCCCCTCAGAACTCCCAGCCTCCTCTGAGGTGTGGTGTAGGTGCAAAGGTCATGGAGAATGGCAGCATAGGAAAATCACTGAGCACAGTCTCAGGGCTGGGGCCGTGCTCTTTGCTGGTTCCCGGTTCCGTGTGTGATGCTGGGCCATCATCATCTTCCCCAGCTGGGCCTCTGTTTCTGAATTTTCAAAGTGAGAATGGTAGATGATCCCTGAGGCCTCCCCGTTCTGATGTTTCACAGCCTCATTCTTTTTGTTTTATTTTGGTTTGTTTTTTAAATGTTTTATTGTGAATTGTGTGATAGTTTACATTGGAGAACATTAGTTATACATTCATCCTGTTGTGTATCGTTTCATTGCCATGGTTACAATCCCCTCCATGCATCATCAGCCAACCAAAGGGTATACTCTGCAAGCCTGCCCCCTGGTCATCAGCACACAGCCCCTCTCCCTCTCTGGGTCTAAAGTCTCCAGCTGTTCCATCTCTCCACATCATCATCTCTGCCTCCATCTCTGTCATCACTGCTTCTTTGGATAGGGCACCACACACCACTCTTCTCCCTTGATGGTCGTAGGGACCTCCGCTCCTGGACTGCAAAGTTAATCACCCCCCTCCTTGCTACAACATATCTACCTTTACCTTTCCAACCCTCACAGTCAGTCCTGATAATAATTATTCACTATTGTATCACAAGAGACCTATCCGCATTTCCTTTCATCAGCCCCTCCTAGACAGATTGGATACTACTCAGTGGAAATTCTACCTTCCTCCACGCTCTCTGGATCTAGGTTCCCTCTTGAAAGCTTGTAAGCCAGTTACTTCTTGCCTTTGTAGCCCTCCCCCACACCCCCACCCATTTTGGGTAGCCAATGTCCAAGTTGCCTATCCCTGTCTACTCTGCATGTGGAGGGGCTGGGAATGATGCTCGCTCTAAGGATTTGTTCCCTCTTTTGAGCTACTGCATCCATAGGTGTAGGTCAAGTTCATCAAATTGTATCAGACTGCTCTTTTTCCTCTTCTTTCTTCTTCTAGTGGAGCTCTGATCATTCAGTAACCTCATTCATTTTTGAGCATCCTCAGACCTATATATTTTTCTAAGCCACTAGCTCTTCTCAGGTTGGAATGTGAGCTATTTTGATGAGCTGAATTTATCTTGGGCGAAACCTGAGCACCTGGCACAAAGTGTCCAGGCAGTGCCAGCCTGTCTGTTTACCTCCCCTTTCACAGCGTGCTTCCCCATGCCCTGGACTCCCCCCACCCCAGGCAGCCCTAACTGGCAGGGCATACTTGTCTTTGCCCAGAGCTTCCTGTTCCTCCTTGGCAGTTGGAGTCCAGCTCATGTGACCAGGGCAGTTCTTGGAGTTTCGGAAGTGCCTCTCACCCATCATCAAAAGAAGGGTGTGTTCCTGTAAACGTGCCTTCTTCTCCCCGAGTCCTCTGTGAAGGACTTTCGTTTCTTATTCCCGTGGACACCTTTTTAGGGACTAGGAAGGAAAATTGTCTTCTGAGGCTTGAGAGAGAAAGTGACTACCCAAGATATGAGTGAAGCCACCCAAATTCAAATCCATGTCCCCTGACTCTCAGCCTCACCTTGTTCTACCATCAGTGACAACATGCCCTTCCTTTCACTCATGTGCTCAGTAATTCATTCAATGATCATGAGTTGAGCCGCTTACTAGTTGCCATCAGCTCCAATCATGGCACCATGGTGTAGGAGTGAAGGAAGTGTTGCTGGTCTTGCGCCATCGTTATGGTCATTGAGTCATATGAGTCCACTCTGGTGGCTGTTGTGTCAGCCTGCCTCCTTGAGGATGTCCTTCATTTATGCTGACCCAGGCATGATGTCCTCTCCAAACATTGAGCAACTACTACATCCTAAGCCCTTGCCTAGGCATTGAGACAACATCCCTACCTTCATAGAGCATTTAGATAATTTCCAGATCATTTCTATTTTTTCTTTGCTACTTTCTTTAGGAGTCCTGGTGTGGTGCTGTGGGTTAATGTGCCAGACTGAAAAGCCGTTTTAACTATAAGGTTGGTGGTTCAAGCTCACCAGTCGCTCATTAGAAACCCTATAAAGGGTCACTATGGGTCGGAAACGACTCAACGGCACTTAACAACAACAATAAAATGAAAACAACTGTCTTTTATCTCCTTTCCCCTCCATTTCCAAGCCAAAATTTGCAGGACTCTTTTTTCCCTAATTTTTGTTATTAAGAAACTGTATATGCAAATAGCAGAAAGTTACAAATACAGATAAGCAAAACTAAGAACATATAAATACCAAATCCCACTATTGACAACTACTTCTTGCTAACACCTGGTCGTATGTTGTTGTTAGGTGTTGTTGGGTTGGTTCTGGCTCATAGTGATCCATGTACAATAGAACAAAACACTACCGTGTCCTGAACCATCCTCACAATTGTTGTGTTTGAGCTCATTGTTGCTGCCATTTTGTCAATCCATCTCATTGGGGGCGTCTTCCTCTTTTTTTGATGACCCTCTACTTTATCAAGCATGACTCCAGGGACTGGTCCCTCCTGATGGCATGTCCAAAGCATATGAGATGAAATCTTACCATCTTCAATTCTAAGGCGTATTCTTGCTATATTTCTTCCAAGAAAGACTTGTTTGTTCTTCTGGCAATCCATGGTACTTTCAATATTCTTTGCCAACATCATAATTCAAATACATCAGTTCTTCTTTGATATTCCTCATTCATATGCTCATACATATGAGGTGAATGAAAATACCATGACGTGGGTCAAGCACACTTTAGTTCTCCAAGTGACATCTTTGTTCTTTAAAACTTTGAAGGGGCTTTTTACAATAGATTTGTCCAATGCAACATTATTTAATTTCTTGATTGCTGCTTCCAGGGGCATCAATTGTGGATCCAACTAAAATGAACTCCTTAATAGCTTCAATCTTGTCTCCATTTACCATGATGTTGCTTATAGGTCCTGTTGTGAGGATATTTCTTCTCTTTACATTGAGGTGTAATACATCCTAAAGGCTGTAACTTTTGACCTTCTTCAGTAAGCGCTTCAAGTCCTCTTTGCTTTCAGCAAGCAAGGTTGTGTCATCTGCACATCACAGGTTGATAATGAATCATCCTCCAACCATGAACACCTTGTTCTTCTTCATAATGGCTGGCTTGTGTTATTATAGAAGTTCTTGGGTGGTGCAAATAGGTTGTGCTCAACTATTAACCAGAAGGTTTGTGGTTTGAACCCACCAAGCAGCAGCACAGAAGCATGGCCTAAGAGTCTGTTGCTGTAAAGGTTACAGAGAAGAACACCCTGTGGAGAGGTTCTACTTGGTATGGTATAGAGTTGCCAGGAGTTGGAATTAACTTGATGGCAAGATGCTTGATTATTTTCTTTGCTTGGTTTTTGTTTTGGAATCATAATGTACTCATGAATTTCATAGACTCAAGGTGTTCCAACTCACTTCAGTCTTCATTCTGTTTAATGCCCAACAATGCCATAACTTTGATGAGTAAAGGCCTCTTCAAGGTGCCTCCTGTGCCCCCACCATGACACTCTCCAAAGATACCATCAGCCTGACAGGCAGTCCCAAAGTTGCTATGCTCAGTGTGTGTCACCTACCTGCTACCTCAGTTGTCTCATAATGGGGCAGCCTCTCCACCCGACCCCGCACTTCTCCTTCCTTCTCTCAAGGTTCACCACTGTGGCTGGGGGGCCTGAGACCCAGGAGTTGAGTGGGGCCGCAGAGCTGAGGTCCAGGCTACGAACCGTGAGTGAGGCTGTGGGCGTAGATGTGGCTGTGGGAGGTATGTGTATAACAGGGGAAGTGAGAGGTGGGGAGGAGTGTGTGGAGAGAGTGAGATTGTTGGCAGTGTGTGTTGGAGCGAGTGAGTGGGAGCTAAGTATGTGGGAAGGTGGAAGGATGGGGGAGGGTTGTGGGGAGGTGGCCCTTATCAGGAGTAGAGTTGATGGGGGCAGTCATTCAGCCAAGCTGCCTACAGAGGACTGAGGACCCACGGGGGCTGCCTTCTGCCTCACAGCTGGCAGAAGTCCTCTCCAGATGCTCTCAAAACATCACAGAGACCCAGATGAGCCTGAGAAACCTGAGCTCGGAGCTGGCGAAGAACCGGGATCAGGTACATGAGGACAGAAGGTCTGTGGGATTTCCTTCTTTTGGGGTGGGGGACCCACCTGTATCAAGTAGATTGTGCTGGGGCCTGGAGTGGTGGTGTGGGCTCAGGAATGAGCAAGACCCTTCCCTGTGACTAGCTGTAGGGAGAAGAGGATGGTGTGGGGGGCTGCCCTCCCCTGGACAGTTGAAGAGCAAGTTAGGACTCCAAGTGGGGCTCTGTGTCAGGCTCTGAGGGAGGTCCTCTGTCCTAGATATTTAGTCCTAAGAGCAATCCTAGTGCTCTGATCATGCCCTCAGGGAGCTTAGCATACCCTGAGTCACAGACAGTAGGTGATAAAGACAGGCCTTCCAGTCCCATCTCCGAAGCTCAGACTTCTGGCCTACACCAAGGATTTACAACCTGTGACAGCCGTTTCTCCAGGCCAAGTTCTCCAGGCAAAAATACAGCCGAGGTGGTCACAGGCTGAGAGAAATGGTATAGAGTTTCTGTTTGGAGTGGTGACAAATTTTGGGAACAGTGGGGGTAGCTAGACAGTATAATTGTGGTTGTTGTTGTTAAGTGCCATTGAGTCGGTTCTAACTCATAGCAACCCTGTATAGAGTTTCTGAGAAACAGCTGGTGGGTTTGAACTGCTGACCTTGTGGTTTGCAGTCCAGTGTTGTTCCTATAGCGCCACACCAGGAATCCCTAGTGAGATCCATAATCCTATGATTTCAACTCGAAATTTTAAATGCTTTGAAAGCCACAAATTTCTCTAAGCTATTTTAGCTGCAAATCCCAACCTACACAGGCACGAGGCTCTTAGAGATAATTTGGTAGATCACTGCACTGAGCCAGCCTCAACTGATGGTGACATTATGACCAACAGAAGGAAGCATTGTCCAAATGTGCTGGTCATCTCACCAGATGTCTCCCTCTCGTTTGCTGGCTCTTTACTTCACAAGCATGATGTTCTCCTCTAGTGATTGATTTCCCCGCTCCCCCAGTGATGACTCACAAGGTTTACACTGGCTCATTTTCTGAAGTAGATTGCCAGTCCTTTCTTCCTTGTCTTTCATAGTCTGGAATCTCCACTGAAACCTGTCCACCATGGGTGATCCTGCTGGTATTTGAAATACTGTTGGCATAGCTTGAAGCATCACACAAGCCAGGCCAATCTGACAAACTGACAGATGGGTGATGGGAGGCTCGTATCATTTTCCTTATCCTACTGAGAGCGTTCTTATAGTTCTCTGAAGGCATGACTGTATTTGGTTCTGAAATGCTGCCTCTGACCCCGCTAGGGTGTTCCCCAGTATGCTGTGTGCACATGCGGCTTCCTTTCACAAATCAGGAAAACACCACGCATTTCAGATACAGACCGTGAATCCGTGGTCTTGGCCTAACCTCTTTCACAACCCAGGCTTTCATGAGGGAAGGCTTTCTGGGGCTGGCAAGGCCCTAGGAACAAGCTGAGACCCCCACCCCCAGCTCTGCAAATAGCTGAAGGGGGCAGTCTTGGGAGGAGTGTGGAGAGAAGGTGGAGCTAAGTAGACCCTACAGTGGATAAGAAATAATCCGCCCCCCCCCCCCACACACACACACACACACTCAACATAGCAAACGGTTCTTGAGAGAATGACTTCCCCTTCCCTCTTCCTTCCCTCCAGGCAGGACCCCCCCCCTCCCATTTAAACAAGAATCATTGATTCATTCTTGTTCTAAACAGGGATTGTTCATTCCTTCTTTATTCATTTAGAGTTTCTTCCCTGTGCTAACCACTGGGAATACCAAGAAGGCACTACTTTGCCCTCTGCTGGTGACCAGGAAAGAGACTTCTCCGCCACCCCCACCTGGTCCCTCACTGCCAGTCTCCCTGGACTCTGGGTCCTCCAGCCATCTGGCCCTGGCACAAGTCTAGTTTCTGACACTTCTCTTGATTTGCTTTTTCTCACCCTTACTAAATGTGTGTGTGCAAAACAGAGACCATGGCCCTGAGAGACAGACAGGCAAACAGAGAATATGATTGAGAGGTGGCTTTTAGCTGGCGTCAACATACCTCAGCTAAGCTTACAGACAAGACTGACCCCCAAAGCTGTGGTCATGAAGTTGCTCCCCCTACTCCCACCCCAGCTCCAGCCTCTCCCTCACCCTTTATTCCCTGCCCTTTGCTTCTCCCATCACCTGGCCCCTTGCCTCCTTCCCATAGCATCCAGCAGATACAGTGCTGTTTGGACAAGATGTACCTCATCTACAAACAGTTCAAGAAATCCAGGATGCAGCCAGGTGAGCCTCAGGGAGAGCCAAGTACCTCACGTACACCCTCTTTCCTCCCTTCTTTCTTCCTGCCTAATCTTTAAAAAGACCCTCTGGGGAGATCCACTGGTTTACTGAACAGGGATGGGAAGTCGCTTGCCCTAGGGGACTGCCATCCTGGGACAGGCAGGAGCAGTGTCAGACCCAGCAGAGTGTTAGGCACCCAGAGAGGACTCCATTGCCTGGTGGGGTTGGAGAATAAATGTTCCCAGCCCCAAGCATGTCCTCGTCTATAGGCTGAAGGTGTTGGGCTTGGCTGTGAAATTCTCTTCTATCCCTAAGACTATCTTAAAAGCACTGTCCAATAAAACTATGTTGAGAGCCACAAATGTAATTTTAAGTCTTCTAGTATCCAAGTTTTAAAAAGCAAAAGAAATAAGTATAATGAATTTTAAGATACATCTTACCCAACACAATATATCCAAAAGGTTGTTTCAGCATGCAATCAATATAAAAATCAGTATCAACACATTATTAAAGAGACATTTTACTTTCTTCTCTCTTTTTTGGGGCACTAAATCTATTTTACATCTATACTAAAACCGTGTGTGTATGTTGCACTTAAAACGCATCTCTGTTTGGATGCCAAATTTTTAACAATGAAAGTGAAACAGAGTCTTAACCAAAACCATAAAATTGTTTTTGATGGAAAAAATCTTTTATACTCCTCTACTATTAAACTGGAATTGAATGATAGGAAATTAGTTCTGCAGCTAGACTAGCTATATTTTGAGTGCTTGGTGGCCATAGGTGATTTGTGTGGTTCTGGAACATTCTATTTGCTAACCTTGGAGGCTATGGGTCGGAGATGTGGGGTGAGCACCTCCACTGCCATTGAGTCTGTGCCAACACATAGTAACCCTCTAGGACAGAGTGGACCTGCTTGTCATTCTCCTTCAGAGCAGTTGGTGTGTTTGAACCACTAACCTTCCAGTTAGCAGTCCAATACTTAAGCCATGGCATCATCAGGATTTTTAGGACACCACTCATAAACCAAGCCCAAACCCACTGCCATGGAGCCAATTCCAACTCATAGTGACCCCGTATAGTGTTTCCCAGGCTGCACATCTTTACCGGAGCAGAAAGCCTCATCGTTCTTCCACAGAGCAGCTGGTGGGTTTGAACCCCCACCCATGCAGTTAGCAGTTTCAGCGCTTATCCTATAGCACCACTAGTGCTCCTTTGGGCAGTCCAGGAGCGCTCCAGCTCCTGGAAGCTAGTGGGGCTTGGGTTCAGCAACGGTAGTCTTAGACGCATTTGACCGCTTAGCTGCAATTTTAAGAGCACCTCAAAGGCTTTTCTGCTGGACTTCTAAGCATCTCCAATGCATGAGGCACCTCCCATGTCCTAAGGACTATGCACATCTTTATTTAAATTTATTAATATAAAATTCAAGGCTCTGGTACCTGATGCTCATTGAGTCAACTCAGAGGGTTTTCAGTGACTGATTTTTCAGAAGTACATCATCAGACCTTTTCTTTCAGGATTCCTCTGGGTGAACTATAACCTCCAGCCTGTCAGTTAGCAGCCAAGTGCATCAATCACTGACACCACCCACACACTATTGCCCTCTCTGTTTTATAGATGAGGAAACAGACACAGAAAGGTTAGGTAGTTTATCCCAGAGTACCCATCTTTAATTGTAGAGCTGGAATTCCAACCCAGGCAACCTAAGTCCTGCTGTTTTTAACCATTACCCATTACCCCCTCAGAAGGGCCTCATTGCTTTTGTTCTTTCACGAGTCCTTTTTTTTTTTTTTTTAATTTAAGGTTTTTATTGTGGATTGAGTGAAAGTT